TTACCTAGCAGCACAGTCATAAGCCAACACATCAGTCTCTGCAAGAAGGTCTCCATCAGTTTCATGATCTCCTCCATCAGGACCCAACTCAAACAGCTGAGGAAAGGAGAAAAACATATTTTTCCCAATTATTCAGTTATGTAAATCTGCTGAATGTGTTTATAATTTTCTGAGTCCAATATATGTTGGATTATTCAGAATGTTAAAAATCAGAGTACCTGCTTCTCTAATGTTATTAAGTGAAATACACACATATGTAATTTAAATTAAGAAACATATACAATATCTTATGGTCTATGTTAATCTGTTTTCCTGATTTACATACTCATGTATTTATATCAAATGCTCTAAATAGCTCTATACAAGAAGTTTTGTACCTGATGTAAACATCTTAAGGAGGTGAGAGAACTCAACTAAAGCATTTTACCTAAGAGAGTTTCAAATGAGGCAGACTCTTCACCACTTACTAGCTGTGAGAACCTGGGACCCAGTTTCCTCATCCATGAAAGAGGGGTGGATACTAACAGTGTCCACTTCACAGTAGTTGTAAAAATTAAACACTTGTGGAACACATAGAAAAATAATGAGGAAAAAAAAGATAGAAAAACATTAGCTATGGAGAGAGGAATAACAGAAGATAAGGAACCTTTAAAAAATAGGTCACAAAAAAAGTTCAAAGCAACATGGCATGGGAAAAAGAGAGATAAAGAGCATGAAAAAATGGTTATTAAATTAAAAAAGAGGGGCCAGCCCATGGCTCACTTGGGAGAGCGTGGTGCTGACAACACCAAGTTAAGTGTTAAGATCCCCTTAGTGGTCATCTTTACAAAAAAAAAAAAAAAGAGGAGACCACCACAGAGTCTGGATAAGGAAAAAAGAGAAAAGATAACTAATAGGAAAAGGTTTATGGAATTAAGTGAAAATGAAGAATTAAAAGGAAGAGGTCCTTTTTAAAAGCGGGTTATTTTAAAAATAGTATATATGACTCTGGAGGTCAGGGAACAGGTCTGTAAGTTTAGAAATCATCAAAGAAAAGGTATTTAAAGCCATAAGGATGGATCACTATGGGGGTGAGTATAATTTAAAAAGAAGTCCAAAAATGAATTCTGGACACTCGCACATTTAGAGTTCAGGTTGATGATGAGCAACTTGCAGCAGACTAAGAGCAGTCAGTGAGACAAGGAAAATGAAGTGTGGTGCCCCAGGAGCCAAGTGAAGAAAATATTTCAAAGAGCCCAAATGAATTAAATTCAGCTAACTGGTTAAGGAAGATAGGACTGAGATTTGACCACTGGCTTTGGTAATATAAAAGTCATCCATATCTCTGACAAGAATAATTTCAGTGGACTGGATGGGGCAAACAGTAGGATTAAGAAGGAATGAGGAGAGAGAGAATGAGACAGAAAGAAAGCTAAGAATATGTACAGAGACTAGCTAGGTGGCTAGTCTATGACAAAGAGCTTTACCTAGGGCAGTGATGGAAGAGTCTCTTTTGGGGGGAGGAAAGAGATGAAGGACCTATCAAAAAAAAAAAAAAGAAAGAAAAGTCCAGGTTTCTGGCTTGTGTAACAAGCATATGGTGGGTGGTATTACTCATGACAGAGGGCATGGAAGAGAGCCATGTCTTAGAAAAAGAGCATGAATTCATTTAAGATATATAATGACTGACAACTGACATGCCTTAAAACATTTCCATGGAAATGAGTTAAAGAAGCAGCCAGAGCTCGAGAAATAAATTTGGGCGTCATGGTATGCCAATGGCTACTGAAACTTTGGCCTTAGAAGAGAATACCTATAAGAAAATATAGAGTAGAGAAAGAGGGCCTGTGGCTGGGCCTAGAAGAACCCCAATACTCAGTGGCCAGATAGAAGAGGATGAAATGACAAAGAGACAGAAGAAACAGCCAGAGGTGTGAAAATGAAACAAAACACAAAAATGAAGCAGGGGCTTACTGTTAGGAAAAAACAATGTATACTTTAGAAAGGTGAAGAGAGAAAAAAAAGACTGACTCCTGTCGGAAGGCTTTTAGTGCACTCACTGAATAATTGAACGCAAAGGCAAGATCATTCCCAGAGAATGGAGAAGTAGAATTTGAGTTTAAAAAGAAAAATGGGGCTGACATAATGACAACATACAAGGATACTTCGAAAAGTTTGTGGAAAAATAGAATTGAAAGAATATAAATCTTTCTGTGAACTTTTTGAAGTACCCTTGTACATGGAAGGACTCTATAATTCTATACCAGAACTATTAAATATAAGGTCCACCATGGTTTGACTATTATTAAAAACAAAAACAAAAACAAAAACAGACACCTGAAGTCCAGGAAAAAATATATCTTCTTGATGAACTTATTAGACATTGTCAACCAGAACTACATAACTCATTGAGTTAAGGTGCTTCTCTATCTTGACTATGAATCAAGGCATTCTAAAATAACCACTTTGAATCAGGTATACTGAAATAATCCAAAGATTATCTACTGTTTTTCTTATTATCAACATATATATGCTACAGGTGTCCTTAATCATTATTCTGTCCCTTCACTCCATGTAAGTATAGAGGCTTGTAATTTTCACTAATTTTTCTACAGCATCTGCAATTTTTTTTAGCATACATATTCCAATTATAACCAGAAATAAGCAAATATTCTTAAAACTTTGTCAGTTCTGGTTGGGCCTCTATAGGGAGTGTCAAAAAACAACATTATAAAGAAGTTTTAACATATTAATATAATTCTTAGGTATTATTGAGAGAATTAGGAAAACATCTTCTGAATAGATGACATTTGAGAATTTTTTGTGAAGCCTGCTATTGAAATTTAGGCACAAACTACAGTTTTCTCTTTTCCTTTAAGAGAAAACTCTGATAACATGAAAAGCAGAAAATTCAAGTTATTCGTGAATTTTCAAACAATAAGCATATACTTTGCTTAGAATAATTGCTAGCCTTTTCAGAGATAAGTTGGTGTGGAAAACTTATGACTCCTGATTTTTAGTTTGCCTACCAGATGGAATCCATCCCCTACAGTCTCTCTCTCACTTCATCCCTGGTACCAGCTCTTGGGGTTATGGTTGTTTACATGTATTTGGCACTAAAAATGCTAAAAATTTTTAGCTACATCAATATGTCCATGCATTAAAACAGTTGTGCCTCCTGTCACTAAAACAGTTATTAAAAAGTAGCCACACAAAAAGGTGCTGCTTTTCCTAGACCACCAGGAAGTTCAGTACAAAGGATTGAGATTGACTACTAAAGCCTTCTTCAGTGTTAAATTACTAAAAAAGCCTTTTCCTTTCATTTCCTCCCTTCTTAGTGACTTGATTATTTTTTAGTGAGTTAATGATATAATGCTGTTGTATTAGATTTTTAGAAATGTTTCCTCAATCCCTTTTTAAAGGGAAGGATTAACCTCCCACAAAAGTTAAAAAAAAAAAAGCATTAAATAAAATAATAAACTAAGTCAAAACCACCATCTTCAAACGAAAAACAGCAACAGTGTCAATGAACTTTACCTTAATTTTAGCAGTATATTCTCCTCTACCTCCAAACAGACCAAGACCACCAAGTAAAATATCAGTGTCAGCACTAAAACGTATAGCTTCTACTGAATGGGCAGAGTAACCCCAGCCCCCTCCATGACCTAAAAGATACAAATAATAATCCATGTTTTAAAATATCCACATATATATTTCAGTTATAAAACAATATTTTCTAAACATAAGTATACATACTTTCAAACCTGTTTACTATACTATAATCTTCTTTGGAATAAACCTTCATTACTGCTTGAGTCTCCTCCTCTGTACTTGCAACACCCATTTTTAAATCCTGCATAGCTGCCAAGGTATCAAGACAACCTAAAACAAAACAAACAAAATTTAACTCCTTGAAATAAAAATTTCCCACACTGATGATATTAGAATGCTACAGGGGATGAATTAAAATAAATAACTCTGAGTGTGTTCAACAAATTTATTCTAAGCTTTAAACAACATTTCATGGGAAAACACAACCAATAAAAATTCTCCTCTGTCTGAGTAGTAAACATATTCAAACATTCGCGGTGTCTTCAAAAAGTTCATGGAAATATCCACATTATCTCTTAATCTTATTTTTCCACAAACTTTTTGAAGTCCCCTTGTATGCTATGTGACAACATTGTGCACAAAACTAAATCTCTGAAAAGCTGGAATAGCATAACCTTTGTAATCTTACAAGGTGGTTCCTTTTATGAAACTCTCTGAATTACTTTAGTTTGATTATTAAAGTACTATTCGAAGAAGACACCTTAGCCAGAAATAACCTTAATTGATGATAGTTCTGGATGTTTACTCTGGTTACCAAATGAAACTTGAGAAAAAAGAAACAAATTATATATATGACCTAGTAATTATACTTTATAATATGATTTCACAATTGCAAATGCTAGATAAATATAACTGTGCCTTTTTAAGAATCATTTTTAAAAGCAGTAAGACTATATACATTGCAAAAGTGCTATATCACAAAGTAATTAAAGAGAAGTGAATTTGATGTGCTATGGAAAACTGTTATATAAGAAGAGACATGGGCCAAGCCCATGGCGCACTCGGGAGAGTGCGGCGCTGGGAGCGCAGTGACGCTCCCGCCGCGGGCTCGGATCCTATATAGGAATGGCCAGTGCGCTCACTGGCTGAGCGCAGTGCGGGCGACTCCACACCAAGGGTTGTGATCCCCTTACCGGTCATGAAAAAAAAAAAAAAAAAAAAAAAAAAAGGAAGAAAAGACAGAGGTAGTATCTGTAAAATTCATATAATATTTTATAGAATTTATTTAAAATTAATGTATATAAACTAAATGTAATCATACATTTGAATATCTTATCTACTTCTCTAAAAGTTTATACATTCAAATTAAGCAATCTTAATTAAAGAGCTACCTATTAGGAAAATTATATTCTAGACTGTTTTATATTTGGGCATTTGTAAAACTTTCATGAGGTTGGTACAGGGCCAATGTATGTTTTCTGTAGGATAAGCCTCTTAAAGGTAGAGGATTTAACCTATTTTGCACCTAGCATATTATTATTGTTTAACAAACATGACAGCAAAATATAAATTTTAATACTCGTAAAAAACCCCCTCAGCACAGCACACATTAACGTACATTAGTTGAACATCCAATAGGAACCATACCTAGAATATGCAAAGCGGCATGAGATCGGGTGGTTACAGCCCTGGATCCTGTTGGGAGGGCAAGTTCAGGACTAAGAATGCTGCATCTGGACTGCATGTCTGTTGCAGAGGGAAGTCTGGCATCAGCAACCACTGCATTGTAACACCACAGTTCTCTAGTAGTTGGTCGAAACCTTTCCAGAAAGAGAATAATTACAGCACCTCAACATGTAGTTTTGTTTAAGATTTTTCTAAAATATAACTGATGACACAAAGAAAATAAATAATACAGTCTGCTTAAAGAGGTCAAAATGTAGCTCATTATTTTCTGCATCTAAACTAAACATATAAATAAAGCACTGTCTATCACTACTAGTGAAAGAATTTGAAAAAAATAGTAATCTAGATCACAATACTTCATAAGTAATACAGTAACTGTATACTTAAAAATTTGATGTGTACATATAAATATAAAGCTTTTGTACAACAAAAACCCCATAAAAATGTTTAAAGACAAAGCAAAAGTTGAAATAAATATGTGAAGTATATATATGAGGCAAAACTACAATATCCGCAATGTATCAGAGCTTCTGCAAACCAATAAAAGAGAATCAATTCAAGAGCAAAACCAGACAAAGGAATGGAATGCTATTCTCAGAAAGGAAGCACAGAGTTTATGCAGATGTTCAACCCTACTAATAAATAGTAAAGCACCAATAAAACTATAAGGAACCCATAATGTCCTCCTGCCATTACCCCATTTTTAATATCTCTTTCAGAACGAAATTCTCAAAAAACTATCTTTACTTCTTGACCTCTTTTACTCTATGAATTCTTTTTTGGGAAAGTTGTTTTTATCAACTTGAGTACATATCTCTCTTTCTGGGACTCTAATCTCCAATATTTCCTTCTTAGATATTTATTAGATCTTCTCACCATATTCTTAAGTTTCAAATTTTTTATATTTTTGTCTCTCTGTGGCATTCTGGGTAATATCCTTAGATGTGTCTTCTGTTTTATCAGTTCTCTCACCTGTTCAAATCTGATATTCATCCATTTGTTTAAAAAACTATTCTCCATTTATAAAAGTGCTACTAGGTTGTTTTTCAAATACGCCTCATTAATTTGAGTCTCATTTTGAGTCTCGTTTGCTCATCTTGATTTCTATTTTTTATTTTTTTAAAGATTTCGTGTATAGTTAATTTACATTCAGTTTCTGACAACTCTAAGATATGAAACTTATCTTGCCGCTCGTTCTGCTGAATTTCACTAACAGTGATATTTCTTACATATTAAGCAGCCTTAAAGACTTTGAGCCCTTGTTTGATTGATTCTTATTTTAAAAACCTATGGACCTAACTGGAAGAGGCTGTTTTCTAAACATGATTTACGCTTGCCTTCTGTTGGAGACAAAGGGGCATTATCCATTTTAGCATCATTCCCGAGCCAGAGGCTTAATGTGAGAGTTTAGGGATCAGTCTCTGTCTGTCTCACCCTGCAGCTGGCACAAGGTTTGTTTCCAAAATGCCAGTTGAAATCAGCATTTGCCCTCAACACAATCCTATGTTTCACAAATGCAAACTACTTACTGCTTATGGAAGTATGTTTTTTATTTTTATGTTGGTTTTCTTTTTTTGAGGTATGGTAGGAGACATAGACGACAGGCACAGCACAGTGGCAATTTCTTGGCTGAGTGCCAAGCTATGTATAAAATATAAAGATCTTTTGTTTGTTTGTTTTTTAAGTATACGGCATCCAAAGTATCTAGTTCATCAAATGCCAGAAGTAGAACTCCCCATTCACTGTTCAAACCATACCAATCCAGTTCGCACATCTATTGCTTCAATGAAATTATTCTTTCAAAGTTGCAGATAAATTCTAAGCAGCCAAATCAAATAGAATTTTTTGTTAGCCACTTAATCAACCCCTCAGCAGTGTTCGGCATCATTGAACAGTTCCTTCTCTTCTTGATCCATGCCCCTTTCCCACTTCAATCTCAGCATACCCTCCTGGCCTTCTCTTGTAGTTCACTGGCTGCTCCTCTGTCACCTCATGCTAGTTCTTCCTCTCTACCTAACTTCTAACTTTTCAAGTTCTCAGGGCTCTTCTCAATCTATTCTCTCTGCCTAGGTGTTAAACTACTGGTTTAACCTATACCTTGCCTCCTTCCCACTGATTTTCCACACAGTAACAGTAAGTATAATCTCAGTGTCACTTCTCAAATTCCTACAAAGGCTTCCTATGCCTTTGTTGAAGAAAATTCAAATTCCTTAATCTAGCCTACAAAGTCCCACATGTCCTGATTCTGCCTACCCCTCTAATTTTATTTCATGTCACTCACTCATTATGATTTGGGCACACTGGCAGTCTTCAAATTCCTAAAACACTGCCAAGCTCTTGCTTACATCAGAGCAGCTGGGCCTACTAAGTTCTCTCTGCCCAGAAGACTTTTCCTGACTCTTCAAATGCCTGGTTCTTTCTCGTAATTCAAAGTCTTAACTTATATTGTCTCCATAGTATGGAAGAGAGGTCACTGCTTTATTCTCAATCACAGCACCCTCTTTTTCCTTAATGGCGCTGAACAAGATCTATATTATTTATTCACCTTCATGTAGTTTCTATCTCTGCTAAAGAAAAAGACTTCCATAAGAGCAAGAATGTTGTTTATTTTATTCACCTTATGTCATTCTTTACTTATCATATAGTATACACTTAATACATATTGAATAATGAAATTAACATTGCGAAAATTGAAAACAATAAAAGTACTGTTTGTTGATGCTAATATTATGGGGAAATAGATTCTCATACCAGTTAGTGAGACAGTATTAAAGGGCAATTTGGCAGTATACATCAACATTTTCTGAGCCTATCTTTTGATTCAGCAATTCCACTTCTTGAAAGCTATCTCGCAGAAATACTCTATGTATGTACAAAACTCTGTATGTGCACATGCTTGTACGTGCGTGTGTGTGTGTGTGTGTTCACTGTAGCACTGTAGGTAATACTATAACATTTAAAAAATCTAAAATGTTCACTGAGGGGCAAACAGCTAAATATATTTGGTATATACAGACAACAGAATTCTATACAGTTTTAATAATGAAGGATTTCTTTAAATACTGACTTGAAAAGATCTCCAAATCATCTTTTTTTGAGGAAAAAAATCTAATTTTTAGAATACTTATACTCTTATTTATATTAAAAAATACATGCATTTTAAAAGGTTTCAAACAATATAAACCAAACAATATTTGTGGATCCATAGACAAGGTTTGTGGGATTGGTATGGAGGAAGACAAAGATCTGAAGAATGACCACGCTTTTTCCTATATGTATTTTTGCTTTGCTTTTTAAAAAAGTAACACAAATTCATGTCCAATTCAAATTCATGTATTATTTGTATAAATTTGTAAGTAAAAAATAAAATTGCTATTCTCAACATTTATCTGCTCCTTATAGATATTAAGTTTCTAGTTATTCAGGTAAAGTTAGTGCCTAAAGAATTTAAAAGGAAGCAGATGCAGGTCAGAAGGAAAGACAAAGTTAAGTTAATGCTGGATCAGCAATACCTGTGATAGCTGTAAAATGCTAGTACTCCACTGAAAACACAGAGGACACAAAGCAGCCACAGGTCAGGACAAATGTTTAAAAGATTCTGATTCTAATTTAAAGGAAAATACCTCCCAGTTATTTTACCAAAAAATAGGAGATTGTCCTTCATCTTTGAATCTCTGTTTTGGAAGAACAATAGGGAAAATGATCAAAGAGCTGGCAAGGCATTTGAGACCATCTGTCCCACTGCTACCACCATGTATGAAAAAGGTAAGTTCAACTAGCTGGATATCATCCTTCAGAGTTCTTTTAAGACCCTAGGGAAATGGCTCTAATTCAAGTAAGTTTTTGCTTCTAGAACTTAGTTATATTTTTATCTCTAACTTAGTGAATGCATCCAGAGACAAATTCCATACTGCCAATTTTTATTTTTGTTTGCTTAATGCAAATTTAGTTCATTTAAAAGTAAAACATACCAAACTACAAAAAAAAGCCACATCAATTTATATACCTAAGTCCAAACCAGAGCCTGCTCTTTGGTAACTAAGTCTGTTGTACACTGACTTCTAATCAGTAAACAATTGCAGACAATTCTATCTTTACATCTTCTCTCCTCTCTATCCTCTCCATTCTATCCCACTGGGACTACTCTAACTTTGGTTCTTAGCATCTCCTGTTTTCTTAAGGATGCCTACAAAAGACCAGTCACCTGAAGCCTCTTGGTATTTTAATCTACCCTGTACAATGCTGCCAGGCAGATCTAAAAACACTACTCAACCCAATTCTGGCCTCCAGGTCTTTTCACAAAATGCCCAAATAATATAGTAAGCTGGTCAGCAACCTGAGCAGCACTACAATTCCTTCACTCTGAATGCAGGCCTCAAGATAAATAGAAAACATGACCTCTTAAGACTTGGCTGGCTGAAGGGAAAGACAAGTAGGCATGGGCAAAAGAATGAAGACAAAGTCTCCTCCCTCTCCACACTCATGCCACTTCAGCCTTTCAACTTAGAATGCCTGCCCACTAAGGCCAGCCAAATAAACACTGTAAGAGGAAAGAAACAAGGGCTCAGGCCTATGATGAACTACTCTGGTAATGGAAGGATACCCCCCCATTAGTATCCAAAGCTTGAAATACTGAGAAAGATAACTCTTTCCTTTATTTGTTATGTATATAAAGCACCACAATAAGTTTTAAACAACTACAATATAATTTATTTCTCAATTCTCTTGTGTTCTTTTATCTATCTCTACATTTTTATAATTTCCAGAGTTTATACAACCCTATGCATTTCTCTACTAATATGGGTGTTTTGTTATGCACATTCCTAAAAGGCAGGCTCAATTATCTTATTTATTCTGTAGTGTATCTGGTATAATTTCTTCTACACAGTTGGTAATAATTATTCATGGGAATAAGAAACAGAATGAATTCTATACAATATAGATACAATTGCTAACAGACTAGAAATAATTAACAATAGAACTCTTGAAAGTAAAACTAATAATTATAATGATACTAGCAAACACTTCTATAGCACCTACTCTATGCCTCTGTACTATTATCCCTATTTCATAAATGAGAAAACCAAGGCACATGGGTTCAAAGTAACTTCTCCAAGGTGATACAGAAAGCAAAATGTGGAGCTGGGATAAACCTAGGCAGTGTGGCCCGAAATGCATGCTCTTAACCACTATGCTATGTCCTAAAGTTCCCTATGAATCACTACAGTAGAAGTGAAGCTATTACTTAAACAGGAAAGTTCTCATGTGTGAAAAGTCTGTCTATACATGAATTTCATATTACCACAAGAGTATAATTAGATCAAAACCTATTTACTACTTTATTTTATTAACAGAGATGCTTACCTCCAAATTACATCATACACAGGATCAAGACACACACCAAATCCTTGCAGATCCTCTTGTTCAGAGTCATTAAAGGTTTTACAACTCCCATCTACTTTATTTATCAGAAGACATTTAAATGGAGGAGGTTCTGATATAGACGCAGGTACCAGGCCTTGGGAAAAAATATTTATATATAATTTTAATATGCATTACCTTCTCATAGTCCCCAAAACCCATAAGGTAAGTTATTATCTCCATTTTATTATGGATATTGTTATCTCCATTTCCCAGATGAAGAAGCTGAGACATAAAAGTTTAAGTAATTAAAAAATCTTTAAGTGGCAGAAATTAAGATTAAAACCTCAGGCTTTCTAAATCTACAACACATGCTCCTAATCTCTATGCTATATCACTCTATTATATAATTACTCATGCCATCAAGAATATAAGTATGAACTGATATCATGGTCTTAATGAAACTTCAAAGTTTGATTTATAAAAAATCAATATCTCCCATAAAAAATAATATCTATAATTTAAGAAACAATGAATAAAAATCCCTGAATCCAATATAGGTTTTATCCTTCCACAGTTTAGCTCACATTTCCACCACTGTCTAGCTTATAAAACTGTGATTTCTACGTCTCCCAATTATTCCATTCTTCCAGCACACAGACACATAAATACAGACACTTGGAGGCTTCGTTCAAATTTCTTCAAACAGAAAGAAAACAAAAAGCTACAAAACTACATCTCATTACAGGAAAGATGAACCATTTACTATCAGTCAAGACAAGGGTTTGTGGGGAGGCATTTGTTTGTTTTTAGTATTACCTATTATGTGTTTACTGGCAAAAATTTCTGATGTAGCAAGTACATGAGAATTAATAAGTGCTTCATCAATTCGTAAGAAAGTCTGGTCCCCACTTGCACCTATCCAAGTAGCTTTTCTTCCATATTTTGATCCAATGTTAGGCATGGGAGCTGGCTTGGCATTCCAATATGGCACGTCTAAAATTGGTCTGCCCAGTTGTCCTTTCTAAAAGATTAAACACACCATATTGTTAACAACACTGCTGAATAAACAATCTATAATTTTTATAAAGTTAAAAAGATAGGAAATAAACACAGTTCTATGAGAACTAATTCTTCATCAGTTGTGAGTTTGTTCTTTTTTTAAAATAAAATATTTGTGAGATTTGGACCAAACACTTATAAAGTAATAAAATAACTTCCCTTATTCCTGGGATATCTTCCCCAATAAAGTACAAACGGCATTATGAAAAAAAAAGTTGAAATATTTTTCCATGCAAGAAATTTCCCCAAAATACTTTGTCTTCACCTACATTTAAAAGAAAAGTATGATAAATAGACATGTTAAAAAAATTAGAATTACAACCCATTCATTTAAGAAATCATTTCGACATCATAAGTTGACACTACAAAAGAAAAGTCACTATTGAACTGACACAGTCTGAGAATAATTGGGTAAAACACTAAAATAATAAATACCAGAACTGTCAGTACAGTTAGAAAAATACATAATGTATTTTTTACCTGACGTGTAAGTCATTTTATTTTTGTTTTAACATAAATAGAATCAATGGTAAGTTCTGATGTCTTAAATAACTGTTAACTCACTTGAACAGTATGGCTGTCTATAGGTACGTGGTTAGGTAAAAGTTTAATTTAAAAAGTAATTGTAAGTTTTCTCATCACTAAGCCAGTAGCTGAAAAAGAAAAAAAAAAAATGTTGATGTTATATTACTAGATATTCATCTACCCCTGGTTCAGGAGCTCTCTCTCCCTATAGCATGCTCCTTCCAGAAACCTTTGGAGGGCAGAAAATGCTGCTCCAACATGGCACACAGGGTTTTACAAGTGTCTCATCAATGGGAATGAGCAACCACAGCAAAAACCCAACAAACAAGGGAGGCTGGAGCACCGCAAACACTCTGGTCAAGTTCTTAACCAACCACCAGGTTTCTATTGAATTCTGTTACTCCTTCGATATCACAGCAACATAGTCACAAACTGACTGCAGAAGCAACTGAGCTTCAATCCCTGGGCAGAACCAGGGCAAGGAAAAGTAGCAAGCACGTGGTTAGAGAAGCAGCCCAAACATTCAATGTTTATTCTCATCTTCTTTCAATGTCTATTCTTATTTTTTGACCAAAAAAAAAAGCATAAAGATGTGAACAGGGAGCAAAGTACATCATATTCAGGGATATATTTTGCTTTTGGAGGGAAAAAAATTAGGTATTAACTACTGAAATAAATAGCTTACTACCAAATACCTTACTACCAAACCAACTAATGTGAAGAAAAGCAGTCCAGAAATATGATAGATGCCTAGACAGCCCCATAGCAATTCAGAATGTGGTTATAAATAAGTCACACTTAAATTCATAAAAGTGCACAATTAGAACTTCTAGGGCTGGAGAACAATGATTAAGTAATTTTAAATCTTGCCTTTCATATTCCTTCCCAAAAGACACATAACCAATACAGAAAGCAAATGAATCCACATGTTACTCAAACCTCCAGCAGTATTAGGAGACAGTGGATATCATGACCTTTAAGTTTCCTGTAACCAGAGGAAGAAACCAAATTCCAACAGAGCTCAACCCACCTGCCACTGCAAGCCTAAGTGTATAGAGAGTGAACACAAAAGGGGAAGCTTCAGAAGGAAACCAAGAAGTGTGGAGGACTTAGAAAAAGTGCGGCAAAATTATCCTCCAAAAGAGAAAGTCCAATCCTTAATGCCAAAATACTACATATGTATGGGTCAGGACTTGAAGGTTCACAGCACCAACTACTTGAAAGTAAGTAGAACCATTTCTCTCTCATCAGAATGGTGCAAATTAAAAGGTACGGCAACACATTCTTTGGCAAGGCTGTGGAGAAACAGACAACTTCACACATTACTGGTGTGAATGCAAAATAGAGGGGAGTTATTAATATCTCACCAAACTACACAGGCTTTAAACTTTGACCCAGCAATCTCACTTCTTGGAACTTATTTCAAAGATATACCTCTAACAGTATTCATTATTACCACTGCAAAATATTGAAAAGTACTTAAACATCCAAGAATAAGAAATTGATTGAATAAACTATAGTATATATACATAATGGAGTATATGGCGTTTAAAAAAAAAGAATAAGGAAGATCTGTATGAACTGAGATGGAGTGACTTCTAGGAGATATATTAAAGTAAAAAGAGCGTATATAGAATGCTACGTTTTGAAAAACAAAGATGAGTGAATAATTATATGTGTGTGTGTATGTGTACATGTGTGTGCATATATATATACACCCACACATATAAAAACAACAGTATGTATATGCATGTGCGTATACATATACACTTATATATAATACGCACACGCAATAGTATGTATGTGTGTGTGCTTATTTATTTATCTTTACAGGAAGAAACATAAAAAGGATAAACTAGAAAGCAATGACATTCATTACCTACAAGTATGGAGTGAAGAGGGTAGGGAAACAAGGATGCCAGGGATATAGGAAGGAGTGATACTTCCCTGAGGGTTTTTGTTTTATTTGTTTGTTTGTTTTGTTTTTTTGTATAACTTAACTTCTGGAAACATATTAAAGTTCCATATATTCAAAAAATAAAATTAAGTCATAGGATGCAAGGAAGACCCTTAAGCTAAAACAAACTGAAAAAAAGGAACCCAGCTCTATTCCAAAGGAATCACATAAATCCCACTGAAAGGGAGTGAGAGAAATAATCCAAGTAATTTATGAACACAGTAACTGATGAGATACCTTCAGTCTTAGGGTAGAAAACAGGTATGGTGGTGGAGGGCGGGGGGCAGAAGCAAGCTTGACAAACAAATCTTGAACTCCTTTTAGTGAGTTTGTTTTTTGTACTGGTATGGGCAAAGCAAATATAAAACTATTTTAGACATATTTTAGGACTGAGCCAGGATTCTTACTGTGCGAGAAGGGACATAAACATGGAACAGGACAAGGTAAGAAAGAACCCTGTGGGAATGGACTGAAATTGGAAGTATCACTGTAAGCTTATGGTTTCTAAAACATATATATGTATATGTATATACACATATATGTGTACTGGGAATGCAAAGACACTATGTAGCAATGAACACATCTAGTGCATACTTGGTGTCTAATACTATTCCCCATTAAAAAGAACCAGGGTTCTTGGAGAAATGGCTAAGTTTAGGACTGATATAAGGCCTGTACAAGATAAACCTTGAATACCTTGTTATGCCAGGAAGAAAGAAAGTGCTAAAAAAATAAAGGGGCATGTCACAAGAACACAGCAGGCAGCTTGAAGGGGTTCCCATCGGCCAAATCTGAGATAATCTAAGTACCCAAATAGTTAAAGACTGTAATGAAGAAAATTCAAATACTTGAGTCTATACCAGTAATAAATAGATGAAAAACCAAACAAACAAATAATAAAGTAGGGATCTCTTGCTTATAGTAAAATGTAAAGTGCCTACTGGTAATTGTGAAGGTGGTGCTGAAGTTAAAAAAAATCATCGCTTTGCAACCATAATAGTAAAAACTGGTTCAGGCAAGAATTACCAATGGATGCTAAATCTACAGGGAAATTTGAATGAGATGCCAGTATCTTAAAGGTGTCAACTCACAGATTGCTTAGTAGTTGCAAAGAAAAAACTACTGATTATACAGTAGAGAAATCACAACATGTGACCAGGTGATCAAAACTGACATCACTTAGCAGGTGCAGAGAGATATCTGTGCTTCCAGATGTGATGCCCTCAGAAGAACGCAACATCACATACAGAATATTTTGGCCTGGATACACATCTTGAATCTAAACATAGGAAGTATCAGAGACACAAAAAAGAACATTCTATGAAAAAAAAATGCCATATAATAGTAGACAAAGAAAAGCTGTGGAACTGTTACAGATTAAGGGAAACTAAAGAGACATGATAAACAAAGTCAATGCCTGATCCTAGATTAGAGGGGAAAAAATGCCAAAAAATAATTATTCAGTCAACTGATAAAATATAAATTAAAGTACTTAGGAGTACAGGGCCATAGTGTATACAAGGTATTCTTAAAGGATTCAGGAAAATAAATTTTTTACATATATACACACACTTGCACACCCACAGAGAGAGAGAGTGGGCAGTCATGCAAACTATAAAGCAAATAGATCAAAATGTTAACAGATGAATCTGATTAAAGACTATATGGGTGTTCTATGTACTATTCTTATTTTTGCAATCTTTCTCCAAGTTTGAAATCATTTCCAAATAAAAGAATTTTTTAAGTTCATGTTTACATTTTTTTAAAAAATCAAGAGTTGTAAATTACATCCCAGAGACTTAGGTTCTAGAGTTGGTTACCTACATCAAAGATGGTATAGTTTTACTAGCAGAGTCTCATGAAAATATGCCTTGATATCTACTATGCCTAAACTATACAAAATTTTTTGAGCATTTTCACACTCTTTTCAATCTTTGGTAGAGGGAGAGCACCAGAGAGAGAGGAAGAGAGAGAGAAAAACAGACAGGCAAACAGATACAGAGAGGGAGAGGAAAAAGAAAAGTATAATTTTAAACAAATCTAATAAAAAACAAGATGTAAAAAATTCTAAAATAGAAATATTTCTTTACATTAAGAAAAACGAATCTTTTAAAGTTAGATGAGAAATAATCTTTTAGATGACAGAATTAGCTCTCTCGAATGGTTAAAGGGCTTTAATCTGTAATAGACACATCCAATTCTAACACAGCTGATAAATTCAACAAATTCTAATGCTGAACTGGAGAAGAAAATTATTTCAAAGAAAGTCATTTGGGTTTTGTGTGTGTTGAAGGCAGAGGCAGGAAATATGCACATGCAGTGATTACAATACAAGAATTAGACTGGAATCAGAAAAAAATAGCTAACATAGACAAATTATAAGGCAAAAGTATAATGCAAAATATTATTAATGTTTAAAAAATTCCTTACAGAAAAACTTCCAAATGTGAAGACCTGTCCATCCATTAAAAGTACTGCCGTATGGTTGCTGCCTGCAGTAACTTGTGTGCTAGGGCCTGGCAATGCTTGAACTTCCAAATGTGAAGACCTGTCCATCCATTAAAAGTACTGCCGTATGGTTGCTGCCTGCAGTAACTTGTGTGCTAGGGCCTGGCAATGCTTGAACAAGAGTGGGCATCCCCTAGGTTAAAAAAAAAAAAAAAAAATTAAGTCAATTTCTTACAAGACTCAACTGAAATAAAGAACAATAATAAACAATGCAATAAGGAGTAGGAAAGATAAAAGGATATTCTGTTCAGTAAGAATATTCAGTAAACACTTATTGAGGTGCCATATGCCTGTTTCCATTCTAGGTGCTAGATAAATGAAGATGAAAAAGACATAGCTGCTGACTTCAAGAAGATTATTAAAAAGACTTCCTGAATTTACTACACTAATTATGGGTACACAATTTTTAATTTTTCTGAAAAACTGGTGACACCTTTTATTTAAAAGGAGAAATCTGTTACCTTGTATACTGAACGTCACATTAGAGATTTCTGTCAATATTTGTTAGATGAAATAAAAATCATGCAATGCCTCAACAGGAATTCGACCCATAACACCAAATTTTATGATCCTCTTTTCCAACTTTTATCACTAAGCTACAATTTTAAATTTAAATATAGGCGTTAATGAGTCAGAACACAGCATCATGAGAGGCAGTACAGCAGCAACTATAAGCTTACACTCTAGAGCCAGACTGCCTCGGTGTGAATCCTAGCTCCACCACTTATTAACAATGTGACCCTAACTTTGAACAAGTATACATCTGTTTTGTATTTCAGTTTTCTCTTCTTTAACATGGAAGATGAGAAGAAACAGTATCTACCCCATAGGGTTCCTGTGAACAATTAAGAAGTTCATATATGTCACGTGTCTGGCGGAGTATGTAGCATACAGTTAACACTTAATGAATGGTAACTGTTATAATAAATGATACCCTAGTATCCTTTCCTACTTCTCTTAACCATTTATTAACCATTTTTAGTAACCATTATATTACCTGTAATGAGAATAACCACTATAGAAATAGCCTACACATAATATGAAAGCTCTGCTTTGGAGACAATGTAATGATAACATTTTAAATTTTAAAAAAATACTAAAATATGTTTTTTAATGATTATTCAGACTGCAATGAAAAGTGAATTGGAAAGGACAAGACTAACAGCTAGAAACCTAGTTAAGAAAATTTCACAATAGTTTGGGTGAGTTATGATGAAGGCCTGTACTAGGAACAGTGTGAAGTGAAAGGAACAGATGAATTTGACAGCTACGTAAGGAACAGAACTGACCAGAACTGGCAAATGATCAATATGGAGAAAAGAAGGTTTTTTGCTTAAGCAACCAGGTAGATGGTGGCAATATTCACTTAAGCTACCAGAATGAATGAGATCTAGGAAGACTTTTAGAGAAAGAAGAGATCCTAGTTTTCCTTCAGAATCTCTTCTAACACTTTAGGTACGGACAGAGGAAGAAAAGCCCATAGACATCTAGGACATACCAAAGAGAAAGAAAGAACTCTAGGAAAATGTAGTATGACCAGTTAATGGTGGAGTCAGAGAGTATGGAAACTTCCTCAAGTATGCTGCACTGAAGGGAAAAAGAAAGGAGAACCAATAGCCAAAAGGAAAATAATGCTGAAGGAGAAGTTTTGTTCTTTTTAAAATAATGGAGATTTGAGGAAATTTAACAAGCTTGAATAAAGATAAAGAAGCTAAAGATACAGGTCACAGAGGAGACAAGAAAGAGATCTAGATCCCTAAGGAAAAGGTAGTGGGTTCCATAGCATGGACAAGGCAGGTCCCTATCTTACAGTAGCATGAAAAAAGGAGCAGAAAAGTGGGATGGCTACAGGTAGGTTTGCAGGGTTGGTGGGATGAAGAATTTCCCATCTAAGGGTTTTTTTGTTGTGATGTGAATGGAGGTCCCCTACTAAGAGAAAGAAGGAAATGGGTGAGGGGTGAGTTTTAAGATTAGAGAAAGGCATGTGGTGAATGGAACAGATAAATACTTTTTATCAGTAGGTTTAAATCTAGATCTAAAGGACTTCTAGGAAGTCCATGAGTGAGCTTCAAGAGATGTGTGAACTCCCTAAATTTGTAAGCAAACTTTTATGTGTATATTCTTCTGTTTTTCTGGAGAAAGGAGCCCAGAGTTTTCATCAAATTCTAAACAGGTCTTAAACTAAATAGTTCAAAACTACAAAACAGGAGGACTACTGCTCACTGTAGACAGAGTGGTTGAATCCAGAAATCACGAATCAATCTGCAGAAGAACAATGATTTATTTCTTTCCAGAAGTTTAAGCACAGGTATTCACGCTTGATTCATGCTTGAAATTTTGCCATGTCCTAGTATCAGAACCAAAAGGGTGAGAAAATTGAGGGTACTGGTAAGAGTATAGGTAAAGAGATTAAACAATAATCTCTATTTTGGGTAGAAAATAAAGTGAAAAAGGTGAAAGAGTAAAAAAGTAGAGGGTTGTAGAGAATAAAGTACTGATAAAGTCAAAAGCAAGTAATAGGGCTATGTAACAGAAGAAATTGTCATCAGATTATGGAATCTTAAATTTAAAAATTCGAGTTGGAGTGGTGCTACATCCAGCATGTGGTCATGTGAAGGACCTCCATAAATGCAGAACTAAAGTTCACTAGACTTAAGGGTGTCAAGGTGAGAAGATTGTATTGGACCATTCACATGGATACTGAAGTCACTCACAACTGTGACAAGACTCAGGGTAAGAAAGCACTGGGAGCCAGGTACTAAATTTTCAATGAATAAAGGGCAGAGACTGAAAGATAGGTAAAAGGAGAGTAGAGGAGAACAGCCACTCCTCAAAAGTGCTTTAGTTTTTCACTTGAGGATGGAGTCATATAGCTAGTAGGAACAGGGGTGAAAAAGTAAGTCGTTCTCAATTCTGAGGTACAGAGAGTATTGGCGAATGAACAATTACCACTTCAAAGGGTAAACTAATGCCCTCACAGAAGCATCCAGTTCAATTCAAATGAGGAACTAAAGGGAGAGTTCCATACCTGTTTACTCCTCTGTAGTTTACAAAGCACTTTCACATAAAATGTATCATTGATTACCAAAATAACTCTATGAGTAGATGTGAAGAGCTTATATAGGATTTTCCCAAGAATTGGTGAGAGATCTTCTAGCACCTAGTCCTTGAACTTTCTCCATGATACTAATGAGTCCACTTATTATTTGGGAAACAGAGGGAAAAAAAAATTCACACAGATATTTGTGCATATATGTGCACACTAGGTACTTTACATATATCATATTAATTTTACAATCCTATGGAATATAAAAACTAAAATTAAGAGAAATTACAGTCACATAGTTGATAACAAGTAATGCAAAGATCTGAACCTTGCTTATATGGTCCAAGACACTATGATTGTGTAGTATATTAGTGCAGGAGGAGGAAAGGAGAACAAGAAGAAGATGAAACTCAGAAACATTATAAAAATTATCAAAATTCCATTGGGAAAAGGAGAATAAAGGCAACTAATCTGCATAATTTCTTTCCCGATCTCCAGGTTTAAGTATACTGAAAATGGTAAAAGAAACAAATTCAGAAATATTCAGGAGCACGTTGAACAAAATAAACAAAACAAAACAAAACAAAAGAGGGTTGGTAGACTCTTATCAGGAGTGAATGTATGAAAGCCCTCATAAGCCTTTTGACATTCATTTTTGAAAGCAGAAACAGTAATTTTTATTGAGCACTTACTATGAGCTAGGCTCTGCACTAAGTAAATCACCTGTGTCATATCACTGAATTCTCACACCACCTTCTGAGGGAGACAGACTTATTCCAACTTAATAGACAAAGAAACTGAAAATGTTAAGTAACTTGGCTAAGGTCAAATAGCTACCAAGTCATATAATCAAGGCCCAATGTAGACACCAAACTCATTCACTTTGGTAAAACAACACATTAAATAAAAGAATATTAGTAACATTTTTCTATCTTTGTTATCATGTATACTACAATACTTATCTTAGATTAATTAACACCTTGTTCATGTGCACTATAAATAAATTCCATTCATCAGCTCTTGATTACTAGAAACTTTTCAAAAAATACCCTCCAACTGTATACTTTATTTCAACTAAGTATCTGTAAATGTTTTTTTGGTGGTAGCTAATATGTATGCTTTGCTTTCCCTGGGATTGTTCCTCCATATAAATGAGCAATTCCTTTCCGAATTAATAATACAGTTCTTGGTTCCCACCTTCCAAGTCCCACACAGATCCAGACAAACAGGCTAACTAGAGTGCTTAAGAAAGAAGCAGTCTTGACGAATTTCTAATCCATTAGGCACAGTATGAAGGTATGAATACACTGCATTTTTCAGTTTAGCTCTGCCCATACCACATGTAATCAGCCTTATATTTACAGCTCTACTAATAGAACCAGAAGCAAAACTTTCCACGTTGGAAAAGACCAACTTTGCACAGTTAAGACATATCCACCAGAGTTTAATCTCAAGAAACCCTGATATTTTGTTTCAACATTAAAAGCTTTCATATTTCATGAAGATGATAAATTCGAGCTATTCAAAATACTGAACTTATGATCTCTATGATGACTTCTCCAGTTCCTGCCACCATGCATGCATTCCTGACAGCAAACTGGGAGCAAAGAAAGGGAAATAGAGAGGTACGCCCCTTCCCTTTAACAGCATGATTCCAAAGTGGCACATATCACTTTAGTTCAGATGACCACATCCTGCTGCAAAGGAGGCTGAAAAATGTAGTCTTCAGCTGCATGGTCATGTCACCAACTAAAACTCTACTACCAACAGAAGTAGGAAAGAATGGGTATTAGGAAATGACTACTAGTGGTAGGTACTAGTCTCTATCACAATTAGTTCTTCACTATTCTGGATAAGCCAAAATAGTTTATCAGAGAGACCAACAGTTTCGGCAGGAAATTATTCAAAAGTTTCAGTGACTGCATGTTAACATCAGACAAAAATTTGAAAACAGACAACATCAAGGAATATGATTGGATCCAATAATGATTTTTTTAAAAAACACAATTTAGGGATATTCATGGTCTTTTCTTTTCTTTTTTTTTTTTTGGACTGGTAAGGGGATCGCAGCCCTTAGCACGGTGTGGTCCGCACCACGCTCAGCCAGTGAGTGCACCGGCTATCCCTATATAGGATCCGAACCCAAGGCCTCAGTGCTACCAGCGCCACACTCTCCCGAGTGAGCCACTGGGCTGGCCCATTCATGGTCTTTTCTGCAAAGCCTTTAAAAAGATAATACTTGTTAAAAATACATGGGGATCTGTGATAATCATAATCACTCTCATATATAAAATATAAGATGTAAATCAACTTTTCTCCTGAAACTATAAAATCACTTATCTCCACCCACAAAAGACCCAACCACAAAACCAGAAACTACCAATAACTCATGGGCCACACTTAGCAAAACAGTGGTACAAATACTATTTAAATTCTAGAAATATATATTCAAAAAGAAAGAGAGAGAGAAAAAAGGATAGAAAAAAAAATAATGGAAATGAAAAGGAGAGAGGAAAAAAGTGTCTTCAAAGGAAAAGTTAGTGAGTACCTGGAGTTGACATCTCCATGTCCTAGCTGCCCATGCTGCCCATAGCCAAATGTATAGACATCTCCATTTTCCATTAAAACCACTGAAACCAAAATACATAGCTTTATTTTTTCATCACATGTACTTTATATTTCTATCAAAACTATACTGAAAGCAGTGTGATTTTCACTATTTAAAATTTACAGTTATTTAAGACAGGTAATTGAAGCATAAGTTTATATTTAATAAGAAATTAATATAATTTTAGCTCTGCAAAATATTTTTATTTTTTTTTGTCTTTTGTCTTTTTCCGTGTCCGGCAACGGATCGCAACCCTCAGTGTTGCCCCCGTACTGGACCGGGGACTGGCAACAGGATCGCAACCCTCGGCGTTGCTCCCGCGCCTCGCTCAGCCAGTGAGTGGGAACCGGTCTGTATGTGGGATCCGAACCCTCGGGCGGGAGCGCCGCCGCGCTTCCCAAGCGGCGCACTATCCAGTGCGCTACCGGGCCGGCCCAATATTTTTTTAGGTCATAAAAATGCACAATGTTTTGTATAATACATACTTTAAAACTCTTAGAAATGGCATTTTAAAATATTTAATAACATATTGTTTTGGGTTAACTGTAAATCTTAATAATGAGTAACTACACATAAAATACTGTTCTCTCATGGCTAGGATAATTATAGGTAGCAGATGGGCTACAGTTCTACACAAAATCAATGAAATGGCAGAACATTATTGCTTATTGATAAGAAAATACATATGGTATTTTCAAATAAGAAATTTAACATTTAAAAATTTTACAAAGGTTGAATGGTACAATGTATTTAATCCAAATGTCAATAATTTACTAAGAATTTAATTATTTTCTATATTTTAAGAAAATAAAAAAAATTGTTGATGCACATTTCTCAATGAAGATTAACAAAATATGGGAACACATTAGAAAATCACAGCATTCTAGAGTTGAAAGGGATATTAGGGATTATTTCTTCTTCAGGAATTTGTTCAGTTGAATTATAAGTCCACTGGAAGATGAACTAGGATCAGGTCAAATGATTCCTATAGTTTGCCAATCATTTAAAGAATTTCAAGTCAAGGTATTCTTGAGATTTTCTAATGTACAAGTCCTTGGTTTAAAATTCCTTCTGGAAAACATGCCACTGAAAAACATTTTCTTGAATTATAATCCACAGTGCAAAAAAGTCTTCAATGTGCTGTTTTATTAAATGTGCTGTTTGAAAGTGACTGACTATTTAATATTTTAGTATTAGTATATGTATCAGGACATTAGAGCAGTTAAAAAATTTTTTTTTTTTCCTTTTTGTCTTTTTTCGTGTCCGGCAACGGATCGCAACCCTCAGTGTCGCGCCCGTACTGGACCGGGACCGGCAACGGGATCGCAACCCTCGGTGTTGCGCCCGCACCTCGCTCAGCCAGTGAGCGGGAACCGGTCTGTATGTGGGATCCGAACCCTCGGCGGGAGCACCACCATGCTCCCAAGCAGCGCACTGTAGCAGTGCGCCACCGGGCCGGCCCATCATGCCATATTTTTTAAAAAAGATTCCATAATAAATGCAGAGCTCTTACAGTTGTGAGAGATGTTTACACACAATAGCTTGTAACATACACTCAGACAACGACATTCCTCAAAACTAAACAAATAAGTTATTTAGCACAATTGTAAAAATGTAGTTATACCCTAAAGTTCCAGCTGCTACCTGAATGGTGAAATCCACAGCTGACTTGTACTGCCCGGAGCTCACAGTCGAATCGCACGGAGCCCGGAGGGTATGTTGTGATTTTGCTCGCATCCTTTTCTCCTCTCTCTCCACTTCCATCTGTAAGTGTTATAATTTGTAATTAAGCCATTATTCATCTTCAAAATAAAAATTTAAATCAGTTTATTATGGAAGAACAAGAAGAAAATGTTAAAAGGAACAAGCAAGAAGAATCTGCAGCTGTTAGAAGTGATAGATCAAGAATCTACCTGCAAAGAAGCAATTTAGAAAAGATATATACTTGGTTTGCAAATATCACTAAATCAATAAAAGCAGAGATAAGATCTGGTTATGGATAACACCTAGTGAGCTAATCAGTTATGTAATAAAAACGGGTCATTAAGTTATAGAAATAAAATTTTAAATGTAATAGTTTATATGGGAAAATTTAGTTTGCATAAAAAATAACTGCATGCAAAATCATTTAACAATTATTTTAAACTGAATGATATTGTTAGTACTAGCTATTTTTCTTAAGTTCCTAGTTGACTTACAAGTAACTTAGATTTCCCAAACTGATCTTAGAAAGGCTACATTGTCCACCAGTATGGCTAAACTCAATTGAACTTTAAAAACTCTGTAAAGACCAAAGAGCTTTATTCAACATATTGCAGTTCAGTGGTCTACCGTCATTCACTTTTCCTGTTCCACCTTACTCCTCAGATTCTACTTTGTGGTATTCTTCCTGTCCCCAACCAAACGTTCTTTTAATCTGCTTTTATTCTCTCTTTCCACCTCCCTTCATTTTATGATTTCCTCCATTAAGTTTGCTTTAGGCCTCCTCTCCACCTCCACCTCGGGTTTCTACATTCAACTTTGAATTTTCCAGCATTTGAACCATAGCATCAAACATCACATTCCGAAATATAAGAACTTTAGCTTGGAATGTGTAAATAAGGGAGGCAACTTACTTTGCCTAATCAAAAACTATACATCACTAAAATATGACCCCTACATCATAAAAATTCAAATTCCTTGCACACAAAATAAATGTAAATCTGGAAGGAATTTCAAAACATCTACTAGTCGAAACCACTCCCTTCTAGAGCAACTCTAAACAAATATATATAATATGCAGATACATATATGAGTCTACAGGCAAAAATTTTGAATTCTGTATTTTCACTGCCCATTTTAGAATGACAAACAGAATCAAATCAAATCATTTTATGTTTACTCTATCCTTACTTTTTTTTATCTAGCCTTTAGTAATACCTAGGTACAGTAAAATTGATCTAAATTATGACTTTCCTCTCTATAAGTAATTGACTCTCTCTGATTTCAAAAAACTTTAAACTCTCTATAACACTGAGGCAGTAAAACTCAATAACTTCAGAATAATATGGTAGGCCCATGTGACTTACTGGAAAAGCTCTAGTCATACAACATTTAAGGAAAAATTCAGTTTTGTTACCTTCAAGCAGTAGAGATTATAGATTAAACTAACTGCTACAATAAATAAAATGTGGATACCTATATTATATCTCAAAATAGGCTAATATTACAGTAAAATGTACCATAAACATAAAAGTCCTTTAACATACAAGAATTAACTGCTGGACCCAGAGGTTGAAGGCACGTTGAAGGAATCCTTCATTTCTTGAGCCCTTGGTTTGAAAAGCTAGTGATTTTAGACAGGTTTCCCCTTATAAGTATGACCCTGAAAATTCAGAGGAAGAAATTATTTTGAATTTTTTACTCAAAAAAATCACAAACACTGCATCTGAAGTATCATAATTTCTGAATTAGTGAGAGATTTTATGACTACAGGATGAAGAATATAATTTCTCTTCTGGTAAATTATCTAAAACGGGTTTGCAAAATTAAATCAAAAAAGGGATGGGCTAAAAATAATCACATTTAGTTTCACTCCATCCAAAATGAAATATACTCTTAGTTGGAAGCCTCCTCATCTTGGAAAGACAGTGGAATGGCTAAACATACACGAGGACCTACACAAAAAGGAATATGTACCTTCCAAAGATTATTTAAATAAGATGCCATATGTAAAGAAATTTTACAGCTTAATCTCAACTGGTAAAAATACCTAATTAAAACCAAATCTGATTTAACATAGAAAACAAATTTGTCCATATGATTTTGCCAGCATCTCAAGTATCATTCCACTTTACATAAATGTATTGGTGCCTAGTTAGAAGCTTTAAACTTTGAATTTAGCATTTTGTCCTCTCCCTTGAGGCAGAAATTAAATCGATACATACCCCACAATAGAGGGGAAAAAAGCATCACGGAAGGAGGAAAAAAGAAAAACCTAGCAATTTATTGAATAAAACCATAATGACTAAAAGACTAGTAGCTATTATTTAGAGGTCAAAATAATACTAGAAACATTTTGTTCAGGTTTACCTAAACAATCTGTATCAATATAAAATAATTTCTCAATTATCATAGGCAGCAAAAATATTACAAATAAAAAAAGAGGGACAAGGTTCTTGATCAGCAGCAGCAGCAGTGGCAGAATTTGAAAAATAGTTATCTGTATCTGGTATCTGATGTCAAAAAAATCAAGTACAATTCCAATAATTTAGAAATTTATAAAAGCTTATCAAAGAAAAAAGGTACTTAATAAACAGCCAAAAATTTAGTGCAAATTCAAGAATCAGCAAGTAAAATTCAGCAAGATTAATTCTGCTGAGGCTCATTATTCAGTAAAGTATTAATAAGCAGTAATAAGACAGTCTCTGATTTGTAGGAAAAACTGTCAGGACTGCAAAGTCTTATAATTGGCCATTCAAGTATAAGCATATCTATATTTTCCCTTACATGAATATGTTCATACATGCAAACATATATATCATGGGATACCAAAACTATACTAGCAATAAAGCTTTCGCAGATGTGTATCTAAAATATTGTGTGTTTATATATTATATATACATATTTGTGTACACCTACAGAGAAGAAAGGATTCAGTACCAAAGAGACTCTAACTTCTCATTTTAATTTTTACTTATATCTATACTTTTGGGGGGTAATCATATAGTCATGCATATCATAAAAACGATCACAGAACACGGTGAGTACTTTGAGAAAAATCATTAAAACAAAACAGCAGGAGCAGAAGCAGCTACAATTTACTAAGCATTTGCACTATGCTAAACACTGCAAAAATTGAAGTACCACAGTGGTTAAGTGTTTGTGGGTATTGGAGCCTAAGGACTTAGATTGAAATCCTCGCCTTGGCTAGTTACACTGGACCTTTTAAGTCTAGCCTTCCCATCTATAAAATAGCAACAATGGTACAAAACTCAAAAGGTTCTAAGTGAAATAATGTATGAAAAGTGCTCAAGCAATATTCACTATTGTTACTTCTTTAACCAATACTGTAATCTGATGATACAGGTGTTTTTCTGTTACGGGGTTAAGTAATCAGCCCAAAGTCATAAATGGTAGAGCAAATTTGGAGTTGGATCATAAATAAGACTCACGCATTTTACCACCACCAAATGGCTGATATCTGAAATTTTTCTTAAAAACAACCTACACATTTAACGAATCTCAAATTCTGTAACTTTAGAATAATTCTAAAAGAGAAAGCAAAGGATTCAATTCAAAGAATTAAATCTAGTATTCATAGAGAATTTCTACATGCAAAGACTACAAATTTGTGTGTGTGGGGGGATATACATATGTATCTTAATCTTCACAGTATCATAACCAGTTAGTAATTATCATTCTTATTTTTTAAAAAAGGAAACTAAAGCTGAAGAGATTAAGAAACTTATGCACTGCCATGTAGTTCTTTAAAATGACAAACCTAGGATTGAAATTGAGGCTTAATTTCAAAGGTTATAACATTTCCACTACCCCACACCACTTCAAACAGAAAATGGGTGTAAAAACACTCAGATATTTATCAGCGTGCCTTCAGATTTTCCTCAGTCACTTTAAGACAGATTTCAAGATCATCTTTAGAACAACTCAGATGTTCCTAACTAGATATATTAAAAGCTTTTTCTGTACAAAGCACTGAATAGCTGAAACAAATGTTAACCCACGCATGTCTGAAATATAGTTTATGGTCACATTTTAATATAACTTGCTATAAGTTATATGGAACTCTACTTATTGATTCAGCCTTATACACTCTATGCTGCCTCTTATCAAAATCTGTCTGTATAAGATGGATTCTGTGACCTTCTCTGAATTTTCTCCAATCAGCCAGAAACTCTCCAACTTTCCATCTTGCAACTGACTTCTGTTAACAATAAATCCACAATTCTTACCTCCACATTCCCCCACAAAAAAGTCTAGAAAATTTTAACTATTATCATCCTACCATTTGTACCAACAACATAATTAAATGTAAGACAGAACACAGCAATTAATATAGCAAACTTTTCAGTGGGTAAACTCAAAGACAAAAAAGAAAAATATATGTAGGAAAAAGAATTTATTAAAAGACTGAAAATATGTAGTAAAAGAAAAAGCAGTGAATGGAGAGATGATTAAATAACAGGACAGTGAATGTAAAAGGTTACTGGGTAGGTAGGAAATAGTGAGTGGTAAGTTAATACTCTTTACAAAAAATAGGGAAGCATTTGATTAATTATTATTTACACTGTAAATTCATTTGGGGAGTAAAGAGATGAAACTGTCTCACTCTATAAAACCATAAAATCCAATAAACACTGGTCCTACAATGTAATACTACAAAGTAGGTCTTTCCAAAGAGGTTGCTACAAGGATACAAAGAGCCTCGTTATAAAGTAACCCTGTGGCAGACAAAATTGAAGTAAGGCTAGGTAGTGTTGAACAATTTCTATAGCTAATCACTTTGTGACATTGGAAAAAGTCTCCTTTAATGTTGGTCTTCATTTAGCATTTCATTTAAAATTCTGGAAAGGATAAATATGCTTATCCATAAGATACTAACATGGAGCTAAAAAGTTTTTAAACTGTTTCATGAAATGTGAATATTTAACCTTAGGTAAAGTCTTGGAAAAACTCTACTTTGATATAATGGGGGCCTGGGGGAGAAACATTGAGAAAATCTGTTCAAATAGTGGCACAGTAGAAATCATAAGAGATCAGAGATTCTGGCAATAACTAAAATAATTTACATAGCATATCCCAAATATTGTTCCTTAGATTTAAATATTTATGGCATTTTTAGAGCACTCGGTAAATCAATCAATCACAAATTTTACTATGGTTAATTACATTAGATTTAAAACACCCTCAATTTTTTATTTCTGCAGAATATATCTTAAATGCAATTCTCTCTTTCTACTTGTGCTTTTACTAAAAATGGGGGTTATGCTTGTTTTAAGTTTTTGCTTTGAGCTAGAAATAGGCAAGTAAAAATAGAGTTGGTAATACTGTCTTTCATGTGAAAGTGTTTTAAAAATTAGACTATAACAGTTTTGCATCAAAGGAAAAATAAGAAAAAAACATTAATTAGATTAATTTTCTATATGGCATATGTGTTTTTAAAACTTCCAATTCTATTTTGCAGAGCTTATCTTAAGCATTTAAGAAAACAGCAACTACAAATTGTACTACACAATGAAGAGCCCCTGGTTCACATGCCAGGATTTAAGGCAGAATTTATATATAAATTTATAAATCCTCTGCAGTAAATTCTTTCCTATTCTTAGTTGACCCATAATCTGTGGCTTAAAAGAAAATAAGTATGCTTTAGGAATATTCTTAATTAACTCGGAACTCTGAGATCTCAAATAACAGAGAAACAGATTCCTAGTCCTTCACAGATTTGGTTAGACCTCTGGCTGTTTCCGAGGACTGAAGCAGGTTTACATGACTCACATTTTGCTTACATCTAACTCTACTTAAACCCTCAAATATCAAACATTTGTATATTCATGTATGTCATATACATAAACTTTCATATTAAAAGGGTGAAAATTTTTAATTGGCAGTCAACTTACCAGTTTATATACTGAATTTAATAATTTTGTTAATTCTAAAGCATATAAACAGTATTCCAAAAAAAAGGACTATAAAATTCCAGATCACAGTCATGTAACACAGATAACAAAGGATAAAAAACAGAAAGCAATAATTATTTTTCCATTTTCCTCAACTTCATGAAAAGAAATGGAAAAGAAAAAAGATACATTGTAAAATGCCGTCTTTATTAAAATTAACAACAAAAAATGAAACAAGAAGCATGACAATCACTGACAAACAATACCACTTTCAGCAGGTTCTTTCTCCTCAGGTTACATAACAATGATAGTAGCAAAGTAGAAGAATCAGGTTTGTGCATTTTCCAAAAGACAAAACTCAAATAAGTGGAAGAAATTGGGAAAGTTTCCCACCTAGTTGATAAGGAAGACCAAATACCTTTGTGCTTGTCCCGTTTATGCTTTAGCTGTGCTGGATGGGATCTGAGTCTGGCTAGAGCCTGTTCTCGATGGTTCATAAAAATAGGACCAGCAAATACAAGAGGGCCTGAGGAGAAACATTTTGTATGTGCATAGAAAAGCTCACAAAATGAAAACACTATAATGAACAAAAAATAATTCAAACTAAAAAGCATGAGAATTTATTCTTAATTGTTTTGGACATTATACTTTTCTCCCAATCCACCACACCACTCCCCTACCCCACCCCCAACAATAACCTATTCACCACTCCACACACAAGTTAATATCTTACATATAATTTATAAAGTACAAATCCCATCTTTTATACTTATAAAATTATTGGATAGCCACTAATAGTCTCAAACAGAAAATCAAGAAGTCTAATTCAAATAAAACAAATATCTTAACAAATATTTTAATATCATATATATTCAAACTTAGTAAACTATATATTCATTGAAAACAAATCTTTCTTATTGAAATACCAAAAACGAACTAATTTTTAAATTAATCATTAAGTTTTAAAAAGGTCTTTCAAGTTTAATATCTACATCAATCTTGCTACAAAACCAAGATAAAATGTTATTGATATTACTACATCTTGTAAATGTACATTTACTACATGTACATTGAAGAAAGCAGATGATCAAGAACAAAACAATAACAAAAAATTTCTGTGATCTGGTATGTGTGTGTGTGCCACACACAGAAACAAGAATAACCCGAGCTTTATATTGATGGTGAAGAGGGGCATCTAACCTAAGTAACATTTTAGAAAGATTAACCATCTTTCCTTAAATCACTTTTCTCTGAAGTGCCACAATACACATATACATACATATGCAAATACATACTCACACAGATGACAGTTGTAGTTATTCACCACTTAATGTTACAGTCAATGACAAACCACATGTATGACAGCAGTCCCATCAGATTATAAGGGCTACACTATATAGCCTAAGTGTGTAGTAGACTATGTCATCTAGGTTTGTGTAAGTACACTCCTTGATGTTCACACAAAACTAAATCACCTAACAGCCCATTTTTCAGAATGTCTCCTCATTGGTAAGTGACATGTGACTATGTTTCCACTCACATAGTATTTAAGGGGAAAAAAATCTACAGACAAATTAATCTTAATAAAATAAAAAAATCACATTTCTCCACTAACATTTAGCATGAAAAGAAAAAGAAGTTTATATCTTAAAACTTTATTTTTTTTCTTATAGAACAGAACTACAGTTTCCTTGAGTTTTAGCAATATCAAAATGGCTTCAAAATGTTCTAAATTTGACAGTTACCATTATTTGAAAAGAGAATTATGACAGTATATAACATTTTTAATTGGAGCAAGTTTTTTCATAATCTCTACTGATCTTCAGCTTTAATTCGTTTGTCTAATGATGGGACAAATTGAACCTATTGCCTTGTAATAAAATTTGACAAATGCCAAATTAAACACCAAAGACCTTTCGTTAAACATACAGTAGAAAAACTTATTTCAATTATAAGACAAAAACGCAAGTAGCCTCAGTTTTATGAAAAACCAAGAATAATATAATCTATGATGATTATGGATAAAAACATGGTAATTTAATGTTAACAGAAGAACTAAATATTATTTCCCAGTAACAAAGTGACAATTATTTTCAAGCTAAGAGTAAACTGAGCTCCTTTCTAAAATGTAATAAAATTAATATATTTTGATATGAACAAATGTCTTATTTCCTGAACATGCATTATTTTTTCAGTTGATTTACTAAAGCATATAATATAAATTACTCTAAAAAGTACTTTCCAACTACACAAAAGAAGTGTAAATATTAAAATAATAATAATAATAATATTAAATTGTATTACTACTTTCTGATGTCCATGGTGTGCTTGGGATATTATTCCTCCCTATAAAGATATATTACACCCATAATACTCATTATTTAGCTTCTCGCTAAATTCGATCTTTTTATATATAAATCTAGAAGGCCCACAGACAATCATGCCTAGAAATTAAAGCTACTCAGGCTCTAAAATACTATTGTATCCCATGAACTAAAATAATTCTTCTTACAAACATAGTTCAATTATCAATTTATTTACCAAACATTTTTTTTATCTTCTATGTAGCAGATACTAGGTATCCTGGATATAATGACAAAGACACAGATCTCACTGAAACTCAGTCCACTAGGGAAAACAGAAATAAAAACAAAGAACTGCAATATATTGTAAAAAATGCGACAAATGACATCTGTACACATTATATCCTGAAGGATAAAAAGTAATCAAATCAACTTGGATGAATCAGAGAGGTTTCAAAGAGTGAGAAAAAGTTTAACAAGACGGAAGGAAAGAGAGGGCATTCCAGATCAAAGGAACAGGATTTATAAAAGCATGAAGATGTTAAACAATATTGTATAGTCATTAAAAATACACTTAGCTGAAATGGAGAATAGTTTGTGAAGCAGAAAGTGGTGGGAACTTAATTTAGAGAGGTATACAAAGAACAGATAATTAAATCCTTTTTACACCGTAAAACTTCATTCTAGAGGTGATGAGAAGTCCCTGAACTATTTTCAATTAGTCAACAAAGACGTATTACGATTCAGGCATCATACTAGGTCCTGGGTTACACTTGGTAAACAAGATACAATCTCTTGCTTCAAGAAGCTCACAGTCTAATTGGGGGGTGTGGAGAAATGGTTTACAGGCAACTAAACAAGAAATTAAGACAATGTGCTATAACAAGAGGAAGCACACAAAAGGCAGCTAACAAAACTTGAGGGTAGAAAATTCGGGAGTTTAGGGGTACAAGAAGAGAAAACAATACAATAGCTGAGACCTAATAAAGGAGGTGGCAGTACTATAAAGGTTCAGAGATCCAGAAAAAAAAAAAAAAAAGGGGGGATGGGGAATAGGAATGAGAATAAAGAGAGATGAGGCTATAGAGATAAAAATGTGGAATTCATCATAAGACTATCAATAGTCTTTTGGTTTTAAACAGAGAAGTGCTGATCAGATGTGCATTGCAGAAGAAACATTCTTGTTAGAAGGTGGATAATAGCTTAGAAGAGGATTAAGATAAGGTAAAACAAGTTGAAAAGCTTTTTGTTATAATTCAGGCAAAGAAGAGAAGTAGCCTGAGCTAAGGAAACAGCAGTGAGATTCTGAAAAGTAGACATATTCACAGGTATTAAAGAGTTAAGACAGAATTAAGAGAACTTGTTGGTATATTTATTTCAGTGGGAGGGGAGTGAATAAAACTGGGTCACGAAATACCCAGATTTAGATATTTGAAAGCTCCTTCCATTCATGTGTAGACAATGGGTTATTTGGAGCCCATCCATAGGCAAGTAGGCAGCAAGTGTAGAATTGGTGGCAGTGTAAAATAGCACAGGCCTTTCAGAAAGCTATTGGCATGTCATCCTTTGACCCAGGAACTGCAACTCTACAAACCTATCCTAAGGAAAATTCTAAAATATATATTCTTTAAATTTCAGCTCAAAACATTTACTATAATCTTATTAATTATAACAAAAAATTAAAAACAACTCAAATGTAATAATAAAAAACTATGGTACAGCCACTCAATGGAATAATATTCAGCCATTACAATGAGATTTTATAAAGAAATTTTTATACAGAAAATGCTTTGCATTATTTAAATTAACTAGATTAATTTCGCCATGTTCGCCACTTTTTGCAAGTTTTAAAAGAATAACTAATATAGGTGAGGCTAGAGGAAAATGCCACTCCTACACATTAGTCTTGAGAATATAAATTCCTACATTTTAAAAACAATGTGAAATATCTGTTAAAACTTAAAACACTCTCTACTACATATACAAAAGCTCCACTATGCACAGCTATAAGTTTAAGAATATTTATTATAGCAAAACCTACAAAACCCTGAAAATAACCTGAATGCCCATCAACAAAATAATGGTTGCAAAAACTGTGGCACAGTCATATTATGAAATGTTATGTAGCTACTAAGTAGAATGTGGTAGGTCCATATTTACTGAGCTGGTGTGTCATGTTGAATTGTAAAATGAGAAAGGATGTTGCAAATGTATATGTCAATACTACTTCTGTAAATAAACATATGTCTATACTTTAACATATTTGTAGATATCTGCACACGATTACATTTTTATAGAGTAAGATATGAAAGTATACCTATTAGACTATTAACCCCATTTGCTTGGTTGGGAAGGCAAGGAAAAAATACTAGCAAAATATAAAAATGTATATAACAATAAGCAAATATATAAAACAAAATTCATTCAGTGATATAAATGAAAATGTGTAAAAGTTGATTAGAAAATGACAATGATATAAATAAAAACAATAATTGAATTAAAGGGTAGGTTTGTGGAAAAATCTTTGACCTAAATTCCTATACTACTTTAACATGGTATTTGCAATAGAGCAAATACTTTATGAGAGGAAAAATAGGATACCAATATGTATGGAAGTATAAAATTATATGAAATAACTAAGCAAAAAATCATGCATCAAAAAATTATAAGAAATTACCTCAAAATTCTATCAGTGGTTATCTTTGCATGAAGAATCATACTGATCTTTTTTTTTTATATTTTCTTAAATGCTTCATATAATACTTCAATGTAAAAAGAGACTTTTATGTGGCATTGGAATAATACTGAATTTGATGTGTCTAATCAAGAAAACAGTTTTAGACACTTAAATATTAAGAGCATCATCAACTCAATCACTTTGAAAGTAGAGAGATTATAACAACTTTGTTTTTATATTCTAATTTATGGGAAACTGATTTTTTTCCTATCAAAATTGAATCTATTTTATTTTAGTGAAGCTGTTGGGATTTTTCTTAATAATAATCAAAGTTTTGTAATTAGCACCTGAATTTTGTAAGAAAAGCAATTAAGCCAAGGCCAGAGTTAGAAACGAGTCAAGCTCAACGAGAATAAAAGTCTACTAAATAGCGCACCATCCCCACCACCACCACCACCACCACCACCACCATCATCATCATCATCAAACATTTACTTAGGGCTTAGTACAAGCTAGGCATTTTTATGTGTATCAATCCTCATTAACATCTCTAGTTAGGTAGGTACAATCGTTATCCCCATTTTAAAGGTAAGGACAAGGTAAGAGCCAGGATTTGATCAAAATCCTAACTTCAGAACCCAAGCTCTTAACCACTGTGCCATATAGCTAGGTTAACCATATAACTTATTATCCAAATGAGATTCTACTGAGAGTAAAATAGGACACTATAAGAATATCCCTGGACAGCAGACATAAAATGGAGCTCTCCCAGGCAAGCCCGGACATGGGTTCACTCCATTTATACAGTCATAAAATTTTGATTTGACACTTAAAGGGCAACAAAAGAAAAGGAGCCAACATTACTAGAGTTTAGTTTTCCTTACAATAGAGTGAAAAGAAATGTAAAGAAAAGATCATTGACACAAACATCCATTAGTTCCTCTGATGACTTAGAAAGTTCTACTTAAGAATTCCACTGAACAAGCACTTCACTTATAAAGTTAATACAAGTCCCAGCACAAAAATTCAAATTAAAGACAAAATTCCAAATTTTTTCAAAAAGCAGCAATAACATTGCTTTTTGGGGTTTCAATAGCACATTCCATTTTAGGAGACCTTGTGTCATAAACAATACCTAACTTACATCAATAAGCCTGAGGCTGACTAAGCAAAGCTTAATTACAAGAGCTAGGTCCTAAAATTCTGATCAACTTAGAAGCAATTAACAAAGACTTGGTGAACAGAATGATAGACAAGTAAAATAATTTAACATAATCTAATCCTGAAGTTCTGAAACACAACACAGGTAAAAAGCCTGTGCTGACGAGCATAATTTCTAACATATTATTGAACTAAAAAGTATCTAAAAAGTGCCAAGCAGAGGCCAAGAAAATAAAAGACAAGTATGTGTGGCAGCTTGAACACTAAAAATTTATTTGACACTTCTGTTCCTCATGAAAACAAAGCAACACTAACAATCTTCTCTAGCACAATGCCAGAGAAGAGCCCTATAACATTGTGCATGAGACTCAAGTCTGTTTCCAGGACTCTTAACCCAGAAATTCTGATTCATTAAGTCCAGATGATTCTGATGTCAATGGGACAATCCATAAACAACACTGACTTAGAACAGGGGTTGTCATACTTTGGCACCACCAGAATCACCTGGAAGGCTTGCAAAATCACAGTTTGCTGGATCCTACTCTCCGAGTTTTTGAGTCAGGAGGTCTGGGCTATGGCCTGGAGACTAGTACTTCTAACAAGTGCCCAAGTGATGCTGATCCCTTTGAGACCACTTTCAGAACCACTGCCCTAAAAATAAGAGAGAAGCATGGCACCTGAAAGGGATTCTTCCATCTAATTAAAATAAAACTATTTTAAAAAAGCAAAGGCAAAGTGTAAATGCCTTAAAACTAATCTATAATTTATCAAAAATATGGCTTAAATTTTAAAACATAACTCTTACTCTGTTCATAAAGTAATATGCTTATCAGAGAATATTTAGAAAACAAATTATAAAAAAGGAAATAAAAATCACCTATAAACTCACATCTCAGGAAAAAACACTTAATGTTTTGGTATTCATCATTCTAGTTCTACTCTATGCAAGTGTGGGTATATCTCTGCGTACATTTAACTGTTTTCTTGTAAAAATTTCTTTTCTTATAAAATTGCTGTAATGAGTGCTAAGAAGGAATTTAAAGATAAGATCATAAAAGTGTGATATCAGCATACTTCTTTTTAATTATTTAATATAGCATAAGAATTTCCAAAGTCACTGAATATGATTCTGAAGTCTGACTTTTTAAAAATGGATATATGGTTGGAATTCCTATTTAAAAGTAAAAGTATTTTTATAAAATGTACAAACAGGCATCACTTTGCAGGGTATTGTTAAGTGAAACACAAACATGATAATTGTGTTCTCCCTTTGCATGATCCTATAGTAACTGTGGTGACTCTGCAAAGGGAGGACACGGTTCCAATATGAACAAATTTTGGTTAAGTTCAGTACCATGCAAAGCAAGGACTGGCATAATTGAGGTCTATAATGAAGATCTCAACTCATCAGGAAAAGGTATTTACTACATATTCTGTTTTAACAAACATGAAAGAGGGTGATATGTGTAAGGAAGAGTTCAGCCAAAAAATAAGGATGAGACAAAATTTTTGTGCACCAATCATATGAATGAAGTGTTGCTATTAAAATGTTTCTATATATTTAGGATTACATATGAAAACTATTTGTCACAAAATACAAGGGTACTTTAAAAGGTTTATGAAAAAAAAGAATTAAAAGATAATACAAATCTTTCCATGATCTTTCTGAAGTACCCTCTTAAACACTCACTGCCCAGAACCTATGTCTGTTTGTAAAATCAATAATGTAATTTCCTTAAAAAGTTAACTAGTGAAACAGTTTTTAAACATTTAAATGGTTAGTGTTTATATTAACGTTTAAAGGTCTATGACACATTTTTCAATGAATGGCAAAAGAATATCCTGCAATCACCAAGTTATGCCAAATTACCAATGCATAATTCAATGTTCCTTTATTTCTGGTATGCAGAAATATACTACACCTAGAGAAAAATAGCTTTTTTTTGGAGGGGGAAAAAAGAGTAACTAGAAATGCAGCATTAAGCAAGTAATTAAATGTCATCATAAGGATTTGCTATACTTGGGTTGAAACATAAGGAACTGCTACGTTTTTCATATGAATTCATATGAATCAACTTACTATTTCCAAGTAAAGAAAAAACAGGTAGTAAAGAGATACACTGATAATTAACATTAAGCAAATCATATCATTAACATAAAAGGAATTATCACTTAATCACCATACATCAGAAAGACCCAGAAGTTAAATTTTATCCTATTTTCTAAGAAACATTTAATATGTAATTTTCCTATATATTTATATGAGTACTTCAAAAAGTTCATAAAAGAATTCATATTATCTTTTATTTTTCCACGAACTTTTTGAAGTGCCCTGAATAAAGTAAATAATGACAGTGTATACATTAACCTCATTAAAATATCTTTCAAAGGAAACAATTTTATGTAAGCAAAGCCAAACTTGATAGCAAAGATTCACTTGCATCAATCAACATTATCAGATGCTATAAGAAATAATCTTCATGTTCTAAGCATATGTTTCACACATTAATAAAAATAAAATTTACCATGTGTACTATATATTTTGCTACTTATTCCATTTTACATTTAAAAAAAAGCTAGAAAAAACACATGATGATGGTTAAATGGATAACAAGTTTATCTCATATATCAAATATTATGACATTTCTAATAAGTATTTAAAATATGCAATATCAATAAATATTTGTAGTGAAGATTTTGTCTAACAGAAATAAAATCACAGACCTCTGTAACAACTTGTCTTAATCCTACAAAGAAAAGATTCTATTGGGCAACAATAGCTTTAGTAATACTTGTATTTAACACTACTTGTTAGATAATTGTAAAAACTGTTCAACTTATTTTCAGGCCCAGAAATAGTCATAACTAATGAGGAAAAGACAAATGATAAACTTATCTTTGCAAATAAAACCGGCAGACTTTCCAACTTACTCTTCTTGTACATCACTAGAATAAGTTTTCTCCAAAAAAAAAAAAAAAAAAAAAAAAAAAAAAAAAAAAAAAAAAAAAAAGACACATAATTGTGCACTGAATTGGAGGGAAGCATGGTGGGACTATGCCCAAATGATAATGATTGTCAATGACTAAGAATACAGAAAAGAGAAGACTAGATTAAAGTGAATTTTGTTCCATGTTCAAATAGATGAATCCAAAGTCTGGGTAGGACAAGTTATTAGAATTCGTACATTTTTTAAAGTTGCCATTGCTAATACTTATTGCAACTTGGCAGATGGCACAATTCTTAATACAGTAACTTATGCCATTAAAACCCTACTGAATTAAATGTATGTGATTAGCACAATTATAAATATCCTGAATATTTTCATATTATTTTCATTAGTTACCAGAATGTTATTAACTTTAATTTTAATAATTTATTACCAAATCAGCCTATTCTGTAAACTTTTCAGTGGTCTCAATATAGGGTAAGAAAATGGATTTTCATATACTTTTTCTCTGTAGCTACATCTTACCTCTTCCTTCCTCTAATCTGTGTCTTCTGATTACACGCTGACGTTTTTCTTCTTGTCGCAACTGAAGGTGTTCTTCAATGTTAACCCCAGGTACTGGGACAGCTAGATGATTGACAAGAAAAAAAAAAAAACATGTATGTTAACTAATAGCTATGACAGAACTACACAAAATTCAAGAAAGTAAAAGCTAGCAAAAACATTATATTTTTACTGCAAGAATTCTTAGCAAAAAAGGGAAAAAGAATCTTATCCCTTAAATGTCATATTGTCAGTTATCGTAAGAAGAGTATTGCATATATTAACTATTATCTTAATTTTTTAACATATCTAATAGAAATTGTTGAAACTATCAGAATTGCTGAGTTGAGGACAAGATGTATACTATCATCAGTCAAATTACCTAAAAGAAGATCTAAAGGTATCATTTCTTTCACTGCATCAAGAATTCCTCTTTGTCTTGCTTCTTGACCATCCAACTCTCTTGCACAAGCCTTGCAACATCCACACACAGCACAGCCAGATTCTCCAGAACCACAACCACAGATCCTAAAAAAAGGGACAAATGAAATCCTTCCGATCTTTCCTTAAAATTCTTTTCCATAACTTCTTTCCCAGATTTATGAAATAAAGTTAAATTAAATAAATCAGCAATGAAATCACTTCTTCAGGTCAGGATGTTGATTTTAAAGAAAAGGTATGAAGAGAAGAATAATTAAAAAAAGGATTTATTAAGCTCCTAATAGACATAATTGGTATATTTCTACAGAAAATACAGGCGGATTCTGCTGTCCTCAAAGCTACTATTAACAAAAACAGTGTTTCAAAAGTTTTCACAGTTAGTAAAGCACCAGCAGCTTCAGTATAAAGTGGACTGAATGGGTTGGTTGGCTAAAAAAACAAGTAAACAAACAACTTTGCTATGTAGCAGATAAGTTAAGGTAGGTATTGGCAGCCTTCAGTGAGTGAGTCCAGCTCACGAGCTTCATACATTATGTTTCCTCCCCCTCAACCCTTCTTTATATGCCATCATCTCCCATTTTCTTCTTTCATTGTGTCCAACTACCTGTTCTTTTTCCTCTTTCTCCCTTTCATATCAATTCTGAACCTTACGACATCTGTTTATAACAAAAAGACAAGAACACTCCAAGAAGTGGCTATGGGGTCAGTCAACAACTAACATCTTAGTCACATATTTTGTAGATGTGGAAGTCATAGCTTTAACGTTATTCATTAGATCTGTCCTTAAAAACTTTTGACAGCCTTGTGTACCCCTGGCTATCCAGATTTGTAAAGGTACATGAGGAAGAATCGACCTGGCAGCACTCTGAAAGACGCAGCTAGACACTGAAATTTTCTGGCTTTTAAAAGTAAGCACTATGGAAAATTTGAAGAATCATTTAATACACAGTAAAAACTATGATATATTAATATGCCCTAGCGAACTGTCCACAGAAACCACTATTTAAAATAGTGTGTTTGCAATACCAATCCTTCTCAGACTATTCCTAAAATTATTGAAGAGGAGAGAACACTTCCTAACTCATTCTATGAGGCCACAATTACCCTGATACCAAAGACAGACAGACACTGTAAGACAAATCCCCCAAAACTACAGAACAATACCCTTTATGAACACCGATGCAAAAATCCTCAGCAAAATACTAACACTGAATTCAGTAGGATATTAAAAGGATTATATACTATGAACAGGTGAGATTTATTCCTGGAATGTAATATATGAAAATCTATCAATGTAATACTTCGGAGAATGAAGGAAAAAAACACATGATCATCTCAACTGATGCAGAAAAAGAATATGACAAAACTCAATACCCTTTCATAATACAAACACTCAACAACTAAAAACAGAAAGAAACTACCTCAACATAATAAAAGCCATATATAAAAAACTTACAGTGAACAAGATACTCAATGGTGAGAGACTGAAAGCTTTTCCTCTAAGGTCAGCAACAAGAAAAGGAGGACTACTTTCACCTCTTTTATTCAACATAGCACTGGAAGTCCTAGTTGGAGCAATTAGGCAAGAAAAAGAAATAAAGGCATCCAAATTTGAAAGGAAGAAGTAAAATTATCTCTGTTCACAGATGATTCGGTCTCAAATGTAGAAAACTCTAAAGATTCCACACCAAAAAACTGGTAGAACTAATAAATGAATTCAGCCAAGTAGCAGGATACAAAGTCAACACACAAAAATCAGTTGCATTTCTGAACACTAACAATGAACAATCTGAAAAAGAAATTACAAAACAGTCACATTTAGAATAGCATCAAAAAGAATAAAACACTTAGCAATTAACTTCAACAAGGAAGTTAAGACCTAACCAAGACATGTATAATGAAAACTACAAAACATTGCTGAAAGAAATTAAAGAGGACATAAATAACAGAAACACATCCCATGTTCATGGGTTGGAAGACTTAATATTGTTACCAGTACCACCCAAAGCAATCTACAGATCCAATGCAATCTGTATCAAAATCCCAATGATGTTTTTTGGCAGAAACAGAAAAAAACTATCCTAAAATTCATATGAAATCTCTAGAGACCCCAAATAGCCAAACAATCCTGAAAAAGGACAAAATACTCACACTTCCTGACTTCAAAACTTAGTACAAATCTACAGTAATCAAAACAGTGTGGTACTAGCATAAAGGCAGTCATATAGATCAATGGAATAGAACAGACAGCCTGGAAATAAACCCTTGCATATATGGTCAAATGATTTTTGACAAGGGTCTCAAGACCATTCAATGGGGAAAGGACAGCCTTTTCAAAAAATGGTGCTGGGTAAACTGGATATCCACATGCAAAGGAATGAAGTTTAACTCTTACCTTATACCATATACAAAAATTAACTTAAAATAGACCAAACACCTAAATGTAAGACCTAAAACTATACAAAACTCCTAGGAGAAAACCTAGGGCAAACACTTCACGACACTGGATTTGGCAATGATTTCTTGGCTGTGATACCAAAGGCACAGGCAACGAAAGAAAAAACAGAAAAACTGAACCACATGAAAATTAAAAAATTTTGTGCATCAAAAGGACACGTCAACAGAGTAAAAAGGCAACTGACAGCTATAATTTTTAATTTGCAAATCATATATCTGTAGAATATACAGAGAACTGCTAAAACTCAACAATAAAAAAACCCAAAAAACTTGATTCAAAAATGGACAAAGGACTTGAATAGATATTTCTCCAAAGAAGATATATAAACAGGTAGGAAGCAAATGAAAAGATGCTCAACATCCCTAATCATGAGGAAAATTCAAATCAAAACTATTATGAGATACCACCTCACACCCACAAAGATGGCTACTATCAAAATGACAGAAAATAACAACTGTTGGTGAGGATTTGGAGGAATTAGAAAACTTGTGCACTGCTGGTGGGAATGTAAAATGGTACAGTCAGTATAGAAAACAGTATGGCAGTTCCTCAAAAGATTGAAAATAGAATTACCATATGATCCAGCAATTCCACTTCTGCGTATATACCCAAAAGAACTGCAAGCAGGGTCTCTAAGAGGTTATTTGCACACCCATGTTCACAGCAGCATTATACACAGAAGCTAAAACATGGAATATGAATGGGTGAATAGATAAGGCAAAATGTGGTATATACATACAATGGAATATTATACAGCCTTAAGAAAGAAGGAAATTTTGATATATGCTACAACATGAATGAAACCTGAGGACATTATGCTAAGTGAAACAAACCAGTCACAAAAAGACAAATACTGTATGATTCTTATATGAGGTATTTAAAGTAGACATAATTATGGAGACAGAAAGTAGAATAGTGGTTTCCAGAGGCTGGAGAGAATGGCGAAATTGGGTACAGAGTTTCAGTTTTGCAAGACAGAAAAATTATGTAGATAGATGGTGGTGGTGGTGTCTGCACAATATTACAAATGTATTTAATACCACTGAACTATACCTTTAAAAACAGTTAAGATGGTCGATCTTATGTTATATGTATTTTAACACAATAAAAAAATTGAAAAAAATGTTTAACTCTAAATTTATTCTAAGTATGTAATCACAATTTTATAATAATTGAAGTCATCTTTAATAGTCCTTAGTTTTCCTATGTTAACTTTATTCATATATTCATATATTTATTTTGCTTCATTAATAAAGAAATCATTGTACTTGGTTGGTACCATCCATATAGGTCTATAAATATCAGAAACTGTATAAGTCACTCTAGGCAAAAAAAAGCATACAAAGAAAAATAATTGATTTCAGAAGGGACCACATAATTCAGAGATCTGTTTATGATATATATGAGTTGTATAAGCTCAAAGACTAGAACACTGAACTTCAGTAGAAATAGTTTAGGAGATATCCAGGAGGACAAATTTCAATTACTATAGCACTGTTAAAGAAAAATACAAGATTCTTTCCGTATCCAACTAAATTTAAAAATAAACAAGTTAGATTATAAAGCATCCATATAGACCTATCTGGATGGTACCTAACCAAGTACAATTAAGTTAAAACAGAAAACAGAGCCAAATACAAAGCTCTGTAGAATAAATATTATCCTTTAATAAAGAGAGAAAATATTTTTGCTTAGGTTAATAATATAAAGAAAATTTATCTTTAAAAGATGATAATATTTCAATAGCCTTTTAAAAAAAAGGCCTGTTACATATATGATCTATTTAACTATGATAGGCCAAGCATAAACCTAGAAATAAACTCATCTAGCTTGAGCTTTCATAACAAAAAATCCAAAATCTGAAATGCTCCAAAATATGAAACTTTTCTGAGCGTCCAAAGAAAATACTCACTGAAGGACTTCTGATTTTCGGATTAAGGATGCTCGACCAGTATGTATGCTACAAATATTCCAAAATCTGAAAAACATCCAAAATCTGAAACACTTCTGGTCTCAAGCATTTCAGATAAGAAATACTTAGCGGGTAGTAGATCCAGACAATATTTGAAAAGAATCACCTGACTGCTAAAGAATTGCCAAATAAGGAGGTCAGAGATGTGGGGGTGGCTGGCCTCACTCTGGGCTTCTCACAAAATTTCCTCTACTCCCCCAAATCAGCCAATAATAAGAAATCTAATCTTACAAAGGACATCTCATTATATTGCATTGGCTGGAACTGGCAATACAAAAATCAGATTCAAAATTCTCCCTAACAATCTAGGCAGAGACTTACATTCTTATTCTGTCAAACTCACATCTGTATTAACTAAGTTTAGAATAATATAGAACCCTGAAAAAAAATATGGTCCAATAACAGGATACATGTAACAGGGACAAATATAACAAGTATGATGCAACTTTAGATGCAAGACCATCCAAAATTCCTAAGACTGCAAACGGTACATTTAAAAGAACATGATATACCCCTAATTGAATAGTCTACATGGTATTTGATAATTCTACTTAAGAAAAGATTCATGGTCAACAAAAATGAATAGTTATTTGGCATCAAACAGGCTCGGGAAAGAAATACAGATAAAGACACAGCTCCAAGCCTTAAAGAAATTAATGAACTTTTTTGAAATAATGGCTTAAATAAATCAAATGAAGGAAAGGAAACCTCAAAATGACACTAATATTAGAAATCAGTATAACGGAAAACAATTATAAAAATTTTAAGTATATACCAATATTCCCTTAAGAAAAGACATAGTAGTAGAACATATTGTGGAATAATTTTGAAAAGAAATGTGTTCTGCATATTTTCTTCAGCAGGAGTCATTTTCTTACCCTCCAGGGACTCTGTCTGGACGCCCACTACTGACACAGCTGGCTCCATAACCTGTACAGTCTCCACAGACAGTGCACACCATGCACTGTTCCAGCTTCCATTTATGCATGCCTGGAGGGCACATCATGGACTTCTCATCTTTTTCATCTAGTTCTTCTTCCAAGTCTTCATCCATCGCTGTTGCCATATTTTCAACTCCAAACCCTATTAGACAGATCAATTTATAATTTTATGTAGATTATTCCAATGTCTAAAAAATGGGTAATTATATTTCCCAATTAAAAATACATAATAACATGCTAATCCAAGCGATTATAAAAAAAAGTGCTAAAATATAAGATTAACAAAAATAAAATTTAATATAGGGACCACTAATAAATGTTCTCCCCATTTTCTTTCTGCAAAAGGAGGCAGAGAAGGCTTTTGTCAAACACATATCTTAGCTGTTACTTTCTGTCAATCTTACTTTGAAATCTTTTCTGATTTTAGTCTCTCTTTTCCATCCTCACTACCAACACTTTCCTTCAACAGACCAAAGAAAGCCTCCTAATCACATTCTGAGTCAAGAGTCCCCCTACTCTAGAACACCCCCTCACTGCCAGCACCAGCTTCCTAAAGCACATATTTGATCCTATGACTTCACAAACCTCCAATGCCTTTCCAAGGTCTTCAGAGGAACAAAATTCAGCAAGAGACAGTCACAATATGGCTCCCAATTTTTTCCAACCTCATTTCTTCTATTCAAACTACATTCCACCTGCACCTAAATTCCCTCTGCTTTCCAAATATCCTGTGTCCTTTCATGTGCTCAGGGCCTTTTACTCATTTCATGTGCGCAGGGCCTCTTACTCATTCCTGCCCCCCTACTTCTCCCTTCCTCGTCTACCAGAGAAACTCCTTTTCGACCTTCAAAAATTCAGCTCAGAAGTAATTTCCTATGAAAGCACTTACTACCTTTTCCAGGGAGTGTCACTACCTCCTCCTCAAAGCCTGTTTATATCTCAATTACAACTTTTTAAATGGTGTTATAATTCATTCAACTATTTTTTTTTTTTTTCATTGAACATCTACTATGCTGTAGGAGTTTCTTTATGTCAAGGAGTCAGCAAATGCTGTAAAGGGTCAGATTGTAAACAATTTAGTCTCTGTGGGCCATGTAAATCTTTCTTCACATTTTTTTATGACCCTTTACAAATGAAATCCATTTTTAGCTGGTAGGGCTTTACAAAAAACGGCTGATGAGCAGATATGGCATCAGGTTATAGTCTGCACTCCTGTGCTCTAGGCACTGAACACTATGATACTGAGCTATTATAAAGCTTATAATCTAGTGAGAAAGATAGACATGAATCAAATAACCATACAAAAAATATTAAAAATACAACTGCACTAGGGTTATGAAGGAACATATAGCACTATTAAGAGCCTATGAGGGAAAAGCAAATCTGTGGGAATCAAGTAATTATTTTTAATGTTTGTCTTTCCTACTAGACTTAGATCCTTAAAGGCAAGGTTATGTTTTACTCACTTTATCTTTCATTCTTAGTCAACCTTAACTCTCTTATTTCTTTTACCGATAAAATGCACCTCACATAGAGCTACCACTCTGTACAGGTCTGCGGATTAAGAAGTAAACACACAGCACAGAAGTAAATCGTATAGCCTTTTTTGGTTTTGGCACTTCTGATCTACGAGCAGACTGAGAAATTAGAGAACCAAGCATCAGATAACTATGCCTAGAGTTAGAATAAAGTAATCCTGAAGTAAGCCTGAGTGACTCTATTTCTAATAACAACAATAGTTGAAACATACTAAGCACTTACTTGTACATGGTTCTACATGCATTACTTATTTAATCATCCCAACAGTACTATAACTACTACCCTCAAATTAATCTGTACATTCGACGCAATCCCAATCACAATGCCAAGCAAATAAACTGATTCTAACTCACATGGAAAATAAAAGTCCCAACCAGGCTAGATAAAGCAAAAATTCATAAAGAAAAAGACTAAAGATTTTAACAACAAAATTTTAAAATTATATTCAACAAATGAAACCATAAACAAATCATAGGTTAGTCAAAGATATATACAATACAATACAATACACAAGAAGCCTCCTACAAATCAATTTTTTAAAAAGGCAAGCAAAATTTTAAAAAGTTGGAAGAGATGTTCAAACTCACTATTAATAATCAAGAAAATGCAAATTCGAAGTGAGAGGCCCAGCAATTCTACTCCTAGTTATAAACATCAAAGAAATGCACACATATTTTCAACAAGACATTCATTAGAATGTTCATAGCAACACTACTCATAATAACCCAAACTAGAAACTACCCAAATGCCCATAATACTAGAAAGGACTTAAAAACTGTGGTATCTATACACAATTTGATACTACACAACAATGAGAATTAACAATATGCAACTACCTGTAACTATGGATGAATCTCATAAACATAAAGGTGAGTGAAAAGAAACTAGACATAAAAGAGGTCATACTGCACTATTCCATTTACATAAAGTGCAAAAATAAGCAACACTAATTTGTGGTGTTAACTGGGGAGGCAGATGGTAAGTGGAGAGTATTATAAAAAAGAGATTCTGGTGCTGGTAATATATGGTTTCTTGATCTTTGATAAAGGTGTTTTCAGTCATGTTCTTACATTTTTTTTACCCCTTGGAAGGGCAATACAGGGAATCTGAATCTTATCTGTAATCTTATCCAGTTTTTTTTTTTAACTGCTAAAAATGATAAGACATGGTGGTAGCTACATCATTTTTTTATATTTTAATATTATTTTCTGTACTTTTCTTGTTTAAAAAGACTTTTAAAAATCCCTTTATGTTCTTTACAACTCTGCAATCCAGAGTAGGTATGATTCCTATTAACTAAAAAACCATTTAACAATTTTATTTTGATTATTACAAAATTTCCTGAGAATCTAGAACACAAGTGTAAATTTATGCCCAATTTTCACAAGAGTTTCAGAATAATAAAGAATTTTGTTCAGCTCAGATCTCTTATAAAACATAATTTAAATCGATATTTATATTATATATAAAAAATTAAACTGACTCTCTCCCCTTTGCCATAGCAGGTATCATCTAAAACTATGGTTCACAAGGTTAGCAAGAAGAGAAAATATTTCCATTGCAAAATACTCTATTTCTTTCTTTTATTCTTTCTTCTTTTTTAAATCGATACACTCTAACAGACTTGTTCTTTTAAAAACTAATATATCTTAAATGCACACACACACATGCACACAAATGAGGCAAAGAAAAAATAAGCAGATTCCTGAGATATAGATGAGTCTTCCATCAAGGCCCCAAAAGAGATAAACTTGTTTTTGTTAATTTATACAGAGTTTAATCCTCAAAATTATTGGTACTTTAAGCACAGTTCAATGCTTACTTCTAATAATGTGCATGGATTGTCTTATTTTCCAGCCCTTACAAAATTAAAAACAGAAAACCAGAAATTGGAGTGAAGGGTATACACATACTGATAGAAGCCAGAAGTAAAAACTAAGACCAAGAATGAAGTAGACACACGATTTAAAAAAAACCAAAAAACCAAGACTACAACAAGCAAGACAATCAAAGGATAAACCTTTCTCTTCCCTTCAATAGCCAGAGGGTTGGGGCAAAGGATAACATGAAGAGGTGCAACTTCAAGTTAGTCTTTCCTTGATAAATGTTCACATATTCATAAGAATCACTCTTAGTTGTACAGAACAGATTAAATTACAAATAGTCCATATTGTTAAATAAAAAGATAATATTTGCCAGAAAGAGTGTTGCCAAAAATGGTTAAAACTGAAAAATATGTGGTATAAAAGGAGCTGGATAACAAAGAGTTTGGAAAATTCACTTTTCTAGAATAATTCAGTCACCAGAAATGTCAAAGGGGCAATATTTTACACAGAATTTAGAACATATAAGAAAACCAACTCATTTGCTCAGAAATTAAAAATCTAAAGTATATTTGATTTTTCCAGTGATGTACTTCTATCAGTAATTATTAAATAAAAGAAATTCAGTCGTTTTCCTAATTCATAAGTATAAAATCAAAGAGATATTCATTTTGAAAAGAGTAAGATTCTTCACTATGTTGTCCTAAAAAACTAGTGAAAAGACAGTACAAATTTAAATATCTAAAAATTAAACACCTACCTTTCCCTCCTTGGTTCATGGCACCAGTGTCTCGTCCACACTGTCCTTTATTATTTACACCAAATGTCCAAACTTCTCCATTCTTCATTAAAACACAAGTGTGAGCTTTGCCCATAGCTACCTGAGTTACAAAATGACCCTTCAAATCGGTTACCAAACCTATAGGAAAGATACAAATTTCATAAAAGCAAAACAAAACAAGAAAAGCCCTCTGAGCCTAGAAAAAGAACTATCTTATATAAAGAACTTGTTATTTTTTCGGGGCAAAATAACTTACCAAAATGGGAAATAAGTGACCAAAAGACTGGCAGGTTATCGCCAAATTAATTTTGTAGTTTTGTAATGTACTTTTAATGACTCTTAAAATGTTACCATCCAGACTTGGGATAAATCTTTACTATACCTTATCTCAAACTTACTTCTAAATGCTTGCTCCAAATGCTAGTACCTCTCACCACTACTCAGAATGGTCAATAGTTCTCTAACTTTTCTGACCAAGCACAAAGGAGCCCATTTACTTTACCTGCTTTGATCTGCCTCAGCAAAATAAAATGAAACACCTGCCATGGTATACTTAAATGGCATTGTGTTTGTAGAAATCTACAAGTTTTTCCAAAGCATTATTTTTCAATCCTTTTAAACCTACAATGCTTTCTTCCACAATCTAATGCACAGCTATTTCCTAAACTTCACTTACGTTCATTACCTTCATTATACTTGTCATATCCAAGTGCCACCCACATCATCTACTTAATATTCTTTACATCAGCTTTAAATTGACTGAAACATTTTAAAACATCAAGTAGGAATAACAGTAACAATGAAAGCGTGTTGATTTCACTATTTCACTAATATACATTAAAATAAAAAATTTTTAAATTAACGCATTTGTTTTATTTAAATTATAAATAATATCAATCTCATTTCACAATTTGGGAAAACCGTTCTACATTATTAGCTCAGGTATCACTTCCTTAAGGGAGCCTTTGCTTTCACCTTATACTAGTTTAGGACTTTTTGTTAAGTATGCCTTAAAATGTCCACTTTTAGTACACTTACAAAAGTAATATTCATTATTATTAACAGTACCAGCTGACATTTCTTGAGACTCAACATGTGCCAGGTTCTGTGCTAGGTATTCTCAACAGCCCTCTTTTGAAGGTAGAAAAAAAAAGAAAGCTCTAAAAAGCTAAGTAAACTATAAACTAACTAAATAGTGCTGGTACCAGGATCTGAGTTTATGTCCATAACCATTAAACCAAACCTCTCTAATATTAAAGTTGTATAATACCCAATTGTCTCTTAGATCCTCTAAAAGGCAGGGACCATGTCTGTCTGGTTCACCAATCCCTTACATATTGTCATAGCTCAATAAGCATAATATTGAGTAAATGTGTAAATTTCCATCAACCCTAGCCAAGAGGACTGTAGCAAGCAAACAGTATTTTTAAACTGTACATGGGCCCACCCCAAAATTTAAACCACTCTAACAGTCACAGCCAACTGAGAATCTAAATATTACATTAAGCTGCTCACACATCACCTGAGTACAGCTTAACTTAATAATTAATCACTATAAATGTCCTATATGTTTCATTTCTTCAGCATGAAACAATCACTTAAACTTCTAATCATAAACTTTATTAATTCTGGTTTCCTTTCTACAAAGAAATTCAAAGTCTTTACATATTTATCTTACATAAAATCCTTCCAAGAGGGATGCCTCATTCATTCTACTCATTTCTAACTGCTAGAAAGGAAATCTAGCGACCAAATTTGAGTTTTTCAGATTAGAGTTAAAAAATATAAAACTGTTTATTAGCTATTTCTATCCCTCATATCCATTTCTTTAAACTTTTGTTTTATCAGTCACCCAGTCACTTAAGTAATTCTTGAGACCCTACCAAGTGCCAAACAGTGCCAGGCACTGGGGATATAACAGTGAATAAGAGGGACATAATCTCACTTCAAGGCCTTAACAAGGAAGGCAATTCCACAATTATAAATCAGCTTTGTTATAAAAATCATTACCCCGGGGTTCTACCATTACCCCAGTGACATGTCACATGACCACCTGAGTCTAGAGAAAGCTTTCCAAAGAAAGTAACAGCTAGGGGGAAACTTCTCTTGCCAAGCTCTATGATTAGCTCTGGATGAAACTAGGAACAGTGCTCCTAGTGACAAGATACGACGGAAAATTTCTTTCCAACATGTTTCACATTTTGAAGGAAATATGAAAAATGCAGAGAAAGTGTGCTACAAATGTTAATTTTCTAGACATATCTTTGAAATCCATAATGACTAGTATTGGGCCTTCTTTACATAAAAGTGAAATGATGCTTATTTTTTTTTTAACTTACTTGAACTATCAGAGTAAATGGCATCTTTTCCAAACATATATAGTTCTCCATCTTTAGAAATAACAGAACTACTTCCATTATTGCAGGCTGTATACACCACAATCTTTCCTTCCATCTTAATTATCTTTTTAGGTTTATAGGGTTTTGACTGCCGTCTGCTCTTAGCTTAAAAATAAATAAATAAATAAATAAATAAAATTAATTTAAGGCATTTATGTACAAACAATAATAATAATGGTTTATATATAAGCTCAAGGGGGAAAAAACCACGTCATTTGCATTAATTCCACAATTATAAATCAGCATTATATAATTTACACATTTTTCACAAAGCCTTAGAGTTCCTAACATGTCAACTAAAATGAATCAACCTGCCAGCCTCATCTGGTCAATTAATATTTAGGCTATCACTGGCAGATCCTCCTTCTTGGCAACACATTAAAATTCCCACTGGGAAACACCAGTCTTCTACTAAACTTCTGGGTCATCCAGTCTTGGGATTAGCTTTTAGATTATCAACACCATTCTAATATCGTGTGTGTGTGTTTGTGTGTGTGTGTACCACATATATTCTTATGATAGATCCTGGAAAGTAAAATAAGTTCCTAATTCATTCAATACTCAGATATTTATTAAGCAGCTACAACAGTCAATGAGAGTTGTAAGGGAGAGAGATACACATATGGAAGGAGAGCAAATAAACTTAAATATGGTGATTTAAGCAGCTTCTGTTCTCAAACACTATATCCTTGAAATAAGCAAAAGATGGGAACATAAATAGGCTATACCTTCAGTGAACCTCAGTTCCTGCATGACTTTTAAAATAAAAACATTGCTAAGCTGGGGCTTAAAATACCATTATATTTCTCAGATAACATGATCCATATACAGCAAGTACTTTACCTGGTGCTCAAGCAAAGAAAGAACAATTTCCTCCAAAGTTCTAGAAGGAAAAACTGGCTGTGCTAAAGTTTCAGAGAGATGCTAACACACTTTATGGCTATTCTAAGGAATTTTTCCAGGGTAACTTTTATTTTCACATGATTTTTAGATTATATATTGACTTTAAAACCTAATCTCTGAAAAATGCTACTCCAATGTGCTACAATGTATAAAGTATATGAGAAGATAAAAAAAGAGAAAAATAGCACTTTGAGGAAGACTCTGAACAGAAATATAGAAAATATAAGAGATAAAACTGTTTTTCTCATTGCTGAGGAATGATTTCATCACAGAGAAATAACACTAAGAACAGTAATCCATAACCAACACAATTACACAAGTTACATAAGATTTACATTCATTCTGAAATATGTACCTCTTCTAAAGTTTTGGGATTCCTAAAATAACCTATCGAAATGAATAAGTCTTTAAAATAACACCAACTGACACAACAGAATAAGCATATATTCTCAGATGAATAGCCATGCATCCATAAGGCATAAAAATTCATGAATACGAACTCTGGAATGAAACGAGCAATCACATTTCTTTAATGAACAATACACCACCATCATTAATTGAATATGTCCCAATGTAAAACCCTCTATTAACTTGGTGAGGTTAGTGTTATTAAAATTAATATATTTTATGTTAATAAATTCCACTTTATTTCTACTAATGCCAGATGATCAGTCAACTTACTTGACTCTCCATCTTCTCCTTTACTAGCAGATCCTGTAAAGAATATGCTTCCATCTTCTGCAACTAAAAGGGCATGAGAGCCATCGTGTCCAACTGAGAAGTGTACTATTTTTGGAGATTTCGTAATTGGTAGCTCAACCCATTTTCCTGCTGAAGGACCACCTTGTTTGATTCCAAGACTCTGGTATTTGCCAGTGTAATATATCTTATATATTAAAAAAAAAAAAAATTACAGAGCCTTTTGGAGTACTGTAACAGGTTTTACATGAGAAGGAATAAAAAGCTTGCATATGCTATGGAAAAACAAAAATAACAAGAACCCAAACTCGTTTTATACACTATTCAACTTCTGTGAGCTGAGCAAGAGAGAAAGAGGCATATTTTGCCAAAAAAACACAGTTCATAATACTTTTTTCATATCTATTCAGGATATTTACAATTTTCCACATTTGTATTTCCATAAATATACTGCAAACTCTCAACAGTAAGAAATTCATAAAATTTTCAATTTCATTTTTCCAGTTGTAAAAACCTGCATATAAATATTCTATACTTGCCTAATAATTTTAATTTCCAGAATTCTTTTAATTACTTTACTTTCTCTTTATAGCCACTAGATAAGAAGCTTCCATCTCTATAGATTGACCTCTGCAATCTATAATTTAATTATCATGGTCCTACTTCCCCCAACTTGTAGTCTGTATATTTCTGCACATTTATAGAAATTTGCGATGAATATCCTATTCATCAAAATAAAACACAAAATATGAATTCATCCCAACTCAAAAAATTAGAGTTCCATAATTAAAAGTAAATATTTGTAAAAATATAACATTTTATAAAGTTTTATGGTCTTAAATGTCACAATTTTTTCCATAATACTATTTTCAACATGAATAAAATTTTATCACATAAAAATAATTTTAAATCAACATTTAAAAGATGATTATGTTTAAACATGTGAACTATTATCAACTAATCAATGGATTGTACCAACTATCTCTTAAAGTGGAGACTGTTCATTTTTTATTTTTACTTTTTTGTAGATGGCCAGTAAGGAGATCCAAACCCTTACCTTAGTGTTATCAACACTGTGCTCTAACCAACTGAGCCAACCAGCCATCGAGACTGTTCATTCTTAATGTAAAAAGAGTATCTTACCTTTCCATTTGCTGTTTTCATTAGTGCAAACTCTCGTCCCGCACCAAGAACTGCTGACTCTTCATCAAATCCAGTACCTAAAATACAACAAGACTAATAAATACCATTGCATTTCTCATATGAATAATTCCAAGTAAAAATGCATTATTTTGAATAATTAAAAAGTCAATTCAATTAATATCACTCAAAAACAAGGACAACAAAATACATCATATTGCCTGAATTTTAAAAAATATTTACAATAACAGGTACCCAATTCCAAGGAAAAATAAAGCTATCATAATCTTAACTTGTTCCAAACTAATGCCAAATTAATTTTTAAAATAAAAAACAAAAAAATTTTTTAATTCAATATGAGCAATATTCCTTGAATTATGTATAAATGAACAAATTTTTACTGAGCATCTATTAGGTATCAGGCATTACACAGTTCATGATCTCACTTGATCCTCATAATTATATTGCTCAATTTACAAGCGAGCAAATATAAAACTTCAGGAGGTTAATCTAGACAGTCATTTAGGCTTGAACAATGCCATGAAGATATTTGAATTAAGTTTTTTTTTTTGTTTGTTTGGTTTTTTTTGTCCTTTTTGAGACCAGCCGCACCGTGCTCAGCCAGTGAGCACTGTGAGCGCACCGGCCATCCCTATATAGGATCCGAACCCGCGGCGGGAGCGCTGCTGTGCTCCCAGTGCCACACTCTCCCGAGTGCGCCCCGGGCTTGGCCCTAAAGTATTTTTTTCCTACAGAAAATTTTATGCAGCCACTGCATAAATTTGAATACATACATGTGCATACCCACGCAGATCCTTATGCATATTTTCAAACTGTAAAACTATGAGTAAATAATTATAACTTTATATATGGCAGATTTTTGTCTAGTTATACTAACTTCTAATTAGTCTATAGGTTTTGAAAATTTCAAATCTATAATCTCAATTCAATATTTTTTCCATGGAGAAATTACAAAAACAGTGCATAATTAAAATATGCAATGTAAAGCACTTGTGTCAACTTTATTAAATTTAGTAAGATAACAGTCAAAAAGAGGTGGGTCCTGCAAAGAATCCTACAAATTAAAAAATGGCACTATTACACTTGAAGTGGCATGCTAAACCAAAATCAAGACCCTTGTTGGAACTAGTGATCCTAACTACTTCTACAATACTGCAAGAGTAGGTATACTAAACCCAACAAATACTCTGTGGTTGTCTGTATTCCTGTATCCAAATGAAAGATTATTGATCAGTTTGTTCAGCCATTTTCACAATCTATAATCTATGTATATCTTAAAAAATCTGTTCAAATAAAAATTAAAGGTTTCAATGAGAGAACTATGTATACTGTTGTAGAAACATTTACAATATAAGCCCATAAAATTTTAAATAAGTGACTAACAATGGAGCATATAGAGTCCACCAGTATCCATCCATAATTCTTATTACATGTATACTTATTTTCTTTTGCTCTATTCAAAATAAAAATGGAAAATTATTGGTCACTTCCTTAAAGTGATCTTCAAATATCATACCCTGTTTAAATGCCGTATTTTCTAGTTACTTACACACATAAATTCAAAATTGTGCTTTATAGTAACAGACAAAAAAATAGATGCTATAGTATAAGCTGAACAGCTGAAAACTCAATGTTAGTTTTTAAAAGAATAAATAATCTCAAAACTAAAATATGGGGAAAAGGCTTATTTTGTCATCTTACTTATAATATGCAAATCCTTTTCCAAATCAAACAGTGAGATACCACAGGCATGTAAGCATTTTCTGGCCAGTTTAAGTTGTAATTCTTGTTGCAGCACAGGTTCAGTGCTTGTGGCAAATATTCTTACAACAAAGCCATCCTAAAAGAAAGAAAACATCCACAGTATTACACTGCATAAGTGGGTCTTTTAAGGCTCTATATTGTGTCTAATAAAAACCAAGTAATTTATGAGAAAGGGATTCTATTTACACTACTTACTCATAATTCAGAGTACTTACATCTCTTGAAGCAGCTATCTGATTAATATATTCTCCATCAGTGAATAAAATATTTTGACCTTCACTGTGGCAATCTGTACAAAAGGAAGAAAAAGTAATTATATTACAATGTAAATAAATACTTCACAAAATGACTTTACACCTCTGCTGAAGTCAGAATGAGATTTCTCCACACAATAAGGATAAACTTAAACTCAAAATGAGACTGCACTTTTTAATAAACAATTACAAATTAGCAGGAACTAAATAATTCAACTAATAATACTTATTACATTTTGTGCTTACATTTATAAATCTTCCATGATCAAGGACCTGAGAGCCTACCTAATTTCAAAATGAATTAGTATTAGATATAGTCTGATAGTAAACATGCACCACGATGAACAAACTATAATGTTGGTTATAATCATTTCAATACAATTACATGCGATGTAGGCAACACTCTACCCTCAGACATACATCGTGGTCATTAGTATCACAGAAAAACACAGACAGACCTAAAGCTTCTGTATTTGAGGTCTATGGTGTCCAACTACAGGTTTCCCTTGCTTTATGAAATGAATGATAGTCAAAACCAGTTTTACATTTCCCACTTAGAAATTCCATGTTTATTCCCAGCATTTTTAGCATTTAGCATGCTCTAAACTTTTTAAATGTTCATCCTTCACTAAAAAAACAAATCTACGCTTATGTATTTCTTTTTGTCTCAAAGCAATCATACACCTTGGCTAGAATACCATATTTTGTCAATAATGTATATATCTCTGTAGAACAATGCACTATATATTTGATCAAAATAATGCACAAGCTCAATTGTAGCAAGGGATACCAGTATTACAGAAGGACCACTGGGACATGTGTTAGTGATTGCTACTAAATAACATGAAACTACAAGCAAAATCAATATCTTAATATAAACTGTATCCTTTTGGAAAAACAAATGTTCAGCAAGCAAGTATAAAAGCACACACACTTCCCAAAATAACTGCAGAGAACTAGGATGAATCTCTCCATTAATCACAATACCATAAAAAAATTATATTTCATTTCAAGTTGCACCTGAATAAACAAAACATGAAATTCTGTTTTTGGAGTGCAGTAACGGAGCCCACCCAAATAAACTGGTTTACTCTACATCTTTGCCCAGGAGCTTCATACTAGCATACTTCCTTATTTTAAATATGCAAAACACAGGCAGACCCTTACCAAATAGAGAATTCAGGGATCACAAACTGGAAATAGAAACTGGGAGACAAGGCCCACTGGTAGCCCAAGAGACTTGGTAATCAAAGAGAGGAGAAATCGAAAGAAAGAGTTCCTAGTCCACTGTACAGAATACAAAGAGGCGCAAGAAAGATGCTTCTCAAGCTCTAAGCAGTAAGATTTAAACTAAAAAGCAAAGAAGAAAAACTCATTATAATTTCAAATAAATGCAGGGGTGAGGAGTGAAGCGGCGCAAGAAGAGTAGCAAAACACCTCGTGATCTGAGGCCATCTATCACTAGACATGGAGAGTAAATGACATAAGGATACAATCTGAAAGGTAAGCCAAGATACAAAGAATAAAATGACAATTATCAAGGGAAACTGTATTTTAAGTTCATCAATACTAGGTTGTAATAATTTTTTCATAAACTAGACTGTAAGACAAGTTAGAATATGAAGCTCAAGGAATTACGTGATTGATGTCAACTTTAAACATGGTATTTGTTACCATCTATAAACCTGATAATTCACTTCTGCTCCTTCTTGATGGGAAAGCTGCAGAGCACAATTGTCCCTACCTAGGAAAAACAAAAAGTACTACTGAAGAAAATGTAGTCCAGGTCAAAGAAATAAGAAAATAACACCAGGCTTCTTCAGTCTTGAGGGTAGAGTCTTCATGCCACATGATTTCAAGATTTTCTCTTTATCTTTTCTTTATCCATCAAGTAATATTATAAGACAGTCTCTTCAGGAATACACCAAGCAACATCTGCCAGTTTGGAAGACACACAATATGGGACTATCCTCACAAAGTTTGGTTTATTCTTCACCATTAATACAGCCCATATTTACAAAACACAGAAAGCCACACCTGTATTGTTAAAAGTTGCATTTCGTATGTTAAACGGTACAGAGGGATTGAAACTGAATAAGAACTTTAACAAGTTGTTTTGTAACACAGTGGCATAAATAAAACAGGTTCAGGTACGTATTTTCAAATTGTCTTCTCGGTTACAATCTCTATTAAATGAGCAGGACTTCTCAGAAGTAAATTCTTTGTATTAGTCTTCATCTGTTGTGAGGGATGGGATTTCTCAATTTAGAATTTTTCTTCTATGACATTATCCTCAAATAACTTGTACAAAAACAGAATAATAGGGATGCTCACTACGGTATAATTTATATAGCAAAAAGTTGGAAGCCTCCAATATATTAATCCAATATAAAAATATATAATATATAAGGCTCCAATATAGTAATATATAAAGGAATATATTCCATAATTAAAATGATGTTGTAGAAGACTATGTCATGGCTTGGAAATATATGCAGAATATTAAGTGAAAGGGATATGTTAAAAAAGCATTTTGTAGCATACTTTTTTACAAGTGACACATATACACATAGGAAAAATATTAAAAAGATATCTACCAATATGGTCATGGTCATAGTGTTTATACATGGGAAATGGGGTTATAATTTCAACTTACTCTTTTTGCTACAATTTTCATATAATAAATATGATTTCTCTTAATATATGTGAGTAGTGTAAAATTATTAAAAATATTTTAAAATTATTATTTTAGTTATTGGCACGAAAGACATGGTCCAGGACTTGTGATGAAAAAGAAAGCCCTGTAGACATATCTGAAAACAGAGTTATTTACAAAATAATTTTATTAAGTCATCTGTTTTCCAAAGCTATTCTATCTGTGAAATGAAAATGTGGCATTACTTTAACATGGTGTCATGTACACTAATTTGGATATATGTGTAGATATTAAGGTTCAAACAGATGTTAAAAATTAACAAGCAGCCTGGGAGCCATTATTCTTCCCAATTTGTTCTTCAGAAGTAGCTCTTATTTTCAGATGGTAAAGTGCCTAGAAGTAATACTGCTGCTTACCAAGAAATTACTGATGCATACATTAAACATTCAAGATTTTAATACAAACAACTTCAGAAAATATCAAAAGTATAAGCAAATTCAAAGGCCTTATAATAGAGAATATTTAGTTGCCCAATGTTCCACAAAATTTTAGAATTTAGATAACAGTGGTTTGAGTGATGAATATATATGCACAACTTCAATATAAGCAAAATGAATTGTGTCCAAATGCCTTATCAGAGCATTATTAAAAAGGATAAATAATGAAATGTTTTTAAACTCTGTGTCTCTGAAAACCCTTTACAATAAAGAGAAAAACACAAGTATACTGTTACTAAAATAAAAATAAACAGAAGTTTCTTTGTACTAGGTCATATGACAATCAGAGTTGTGGTTTTATTGAGAGCAACAAAGTAACATCACCCCACTAATTTAGTAGCTCAAAAAATCTTGGTGGGGGTTAGAGTAAGGGATTAAGCCACAATGGTTACGTGGTTTTATTGAGAGCAACAAAGTAACATCACCCCACTAATTTAGTAGCTCAAAAAATCTTAGAGTAAGGGATTAAGCCACAATGGTTATGAATTTAAATACAAATATTAAAACTCATATTTCTGATGTATATTGTCCTCATGTGTATTAACTTTATATATACTATAAAATGTTTTGCGTGTCAAGATTGTTTAAACCCGTTTGTAAGCAAGCACTATTCCTTGCTAATAATTCTTTAGGTCTAAGTAGCCTCACATGCACACTTCTTAAAATCACTTGTGAAGTGAAAAAATAACTAGCTGAGACATACCTGGTAACATTACAGTACCATCTTGTTCCAGTGTTTCAGGACTTATTCTTATGGCTGTCATGCTGTGGTTATTCACATCTCTATATAATAAGTAACCCTGATAACGACAAAAAATTCTCCTGTTAAAATATTTTTTCATTACCAATTCAGCCAAAAAAGCAGCCATACAATTCCATGACAGTTTTTTCAAGTAAAATTATATGTCAATGTTGATGTCTAAAAGATATTAAAGATTAAAAATAGAAGAACATGGATATACTTTAATAAGAGGAGGAACTGTACACAACTGGGTATTAATTTAATATATAATCTCAGATACATATATAAGCTACACTAAACAGGACAGTACATTTTGCTCAAAATGACTATCACTTGACAAGTAAATAATATAAATGATCACTGTAACTTTAACAAATTCTTTAAGGAAAAAAACTGAAGTATTTAGGTTGCTATCTCAAAATGGAGAAGTGGTTTCAGATGAAGTGATATGCCATTGAACATAATACTGTAATAATATATTTTCCATGGCATTATTTCTTGGATAAAACATAGTACGGTGGCAAATAAAAATTTGATGAGACATTTTAAACCACCTTAAGTTTTAAGAGACAATGACTGAGTTATTAATTAGATATTTAAAATGCAATTTCAAAATCTCCCCAGTAGTTGATATAGCATTATTTTTCATATAACAACAATAATTCTTTCAGTTTTCAAAATACTTTCAAATATCTTTTATCATTTGATGCTGACAACAAATCCCATGAGCTTGGCAGGGAAAACTTTATTCTCTATTTTTCCACAAGGGAACCTGGGCTTCGCCTCTCAGGAGGGGATAGTATGGAAATAAATAGGACCCCCTTGGTCCATCCTCCATTTGCTTTTCTCCACGGATGGTGGAGTAATGTATCTGATTGCTGACCTAGTAAGAAGCTGAAGCCCATCTGGCTATGATGGTCAGGGGATGAGACAGCAGCATTAAGAAAGCAACATAGGCCTAGGTCTTTTCTCTATTTTGTGATTCTCTGCATAATCCTCCACGCAGGTAGCAGTCTACTCGGCAGGCCAAACACTGTTCACTAGAAGATACTGGATCTAGACTTATAATGAAGGAGCTTGTTGGCAAGAAGCCCTAATTTGGCCTCAGTTCACATATACATTCTCAATTCAGATTTGCTAAAGATAAAGGTGGTCTTTGATTCTTATCTAGAAGCTCACTTAAACAAGACCTCCAAAGAAGATTATTTTTATTCTCATTTTACAGCTAACTGACAGAGGACTAAATAAGTTGAGTTGCCCAGAGTCACACAGGTAATAAAAAGCAGGGACATAACTAAACTTGAACCTCTACAAATTCTGAGCCAGTGTTCTTTACACTACACTATACCATTGTTATAGCCAGATTATTAAAGATACACCATTTCTGTTTAAATAAAAGTGATATTATTTATTGATTCAAAAAGTACAAACCACATATTTTAAAAGATAAGTTTGATTTATTATGGATATTCTCCTACCTGAGCATAACCTAACCAAGACTTTTTTTCTTTTCTGTTTCTGATGCGGGATGTAGAATTGTATATATGGCCCTGCAGAATAACGAAAGTTAGTTGATCAACAGTTTCATAATTAATAATCAATGGAAAATAATGCAAATGGACGAATGACATTTAATGCTTCTATTTCAATTATAATTTTTTAAAGAAGTATTATTACCTCAAAATTAGTACTCTAAAAATGAAGCTAGAAAAAAACAGGACTCAATTTAGTATGAATCTAACTGCTATGATTAAGAATTGTAAGGAATCACATTACCCTAACTGTTCCACTGTATCCAGAGCCGATTTTGTATAATCCATCCTTGCATAACAGATACAGAAAAAATCCATCATTCTGAAGTAAACACTGGTCATCTTCATCGACAGATATTTCTTTCAATGGCCACTTGTGCATTAAAGCTGCTTTCTTAATACCATTGCTAAACCAGTCCTGAATTTGAATTTTTCCCACCAAAACTGCTTGTACACTTCTCTGTAGTGAATTCAGTATTGTTGGCACCTATCGAAAGAGAAGAAAAAAAAAAAGACATTTTTAAATGTTTCAAACACAAAACAGAAAAAATAAAGACATTTTAGTAATATATCATTTATAAGAAAATAACCTGTTCACAACAATCATGTTTGACATGCCAGTAAAAAGTAACAATTAAAAATTCATCCTTACGAAGCAAATCTCAAGCAAACTAGACGTCCTTAATCTGAAGATTCCATGTCACTCACCAAAACTATAAAATCTTAGCCATTATTTCAAGTACTCTGTCTCAACAAACCTATCGTTGCCTTGTGGAACTCAGATTGTATTAATACATAAAACTTTCTCATTCTCTATCCATGTTTCTTATTTTACCTTTTATATTTTCTTTGTCACTCTGTGCTGCATTCTGGATAATTTCTTCCTCTTTATCTTTCAGTTCACTATTTCTATCTTCAACAATATAATTCACTAGTTAACCAATCCATACACACACACATTCTATATCAAGTAATTTCAATATCTAAGAACTTGACAGGATTGAATCTGCTGTGTTTGTTTTTACTGTTTATGATGATGTGTTTGTTTGTATGCTCAAGTGCAATAGTATTTTCTCTGCAGGAAGCCTTTGCAGGCCAGAGTTTATTCCCCCCAAAATGGATTTTAATCTCCATCAATAAGGTACCTTGCACTACTACCACACCTACTCTACTTTAAACTCTATGCTTTTTGGAATAGACAGGTAATATGCATTTGAATCCAAAACAATTTGAGATATTAAGAGTCATATATTCTCAGAGATGACTTCTCTCCCTACAGCCACAGGAAGGCCAAGAGTTTGTGAAATGGATGCTTGTGTTGTTTTAGTACAAGGACCAGGGGACAAAAGGATTCCAAGAATAGTAGAAAGGGATTAAATAATAAGAGTAGAAACCTGGAGTAAGGGGATTGCTCATGTTTGACAAGGAGAGTTCAAGATCACTGAATAAGTCACAAAAAAATGACCAATATCTTTGGTCAATATCTTTTGCTATCTTTGGCCTGCTAACAACAGGATTGAGGCAGCCCTCCCTTCTGTCCTAGAGGTTCTCCAAGGAGCCAGAGAAGAGCAGATAATCAGGCCCTAAACCTGTAACTTCTTTCTCAATTTCCATAACCAACCAAAAGAATTAAATTAAATTTGCCTATAAGGAGCATTATATTCCCCACTACCAAAAATGGTGAAGAGCTTATTTATTTCATAGTTGGATACTTAAATGTTGTATGTGTAGATAAAGTAACTCAGAAACAAATCAATTCATAAAAAAATCATAATCTACCAATCAAGAATATAGCAGATTGACATCATAGTCTTTTATTTTAATAGAGAAAAGATACTTAAAACTATGACAAAATTCCATACTTGAAAATTTGGGGCAAGATGGGAGGTGAGGAGGAAGGTAGAGAGCAAGACAATGCAAAAGAAGAGGAGGCGAAAGCAGGTTAAAGATCTGAGTTTGTGCCAAAATTCATCTTATTACCTTTAATGCTACAGAGTTAAACACACATGTACCTTAACTCAAATACTGTAGATCATTTGGACAGATCAAACTACTATAATGAGTGAGAAAAAGCAGGGAATTCCTACAGACAGAAATTGAGATGAAACAGTAACTCAGGATCAAGATGGCAGAATAGATGGTCCCCAGCATCACTCTCTCCCACAGCCTATCAATTTACAATTATTAAAAAGCAAAGACTGACAACCAGGGACTACTGGAACTCAGCTGGAAGAGGAGGAGAGATTTTTGGAGTTCATGAAGGTTGGAGAAGCCGTGGCAAGAAAAAGAAGGGATGGCTCCAACCATTTTGAGCTGTGACTACTTCAGGGCAAGCCCCAGTGAGAGGTGGGAAGAAGTTGTACCACATAAAAGCCACAACTGAGCCCTCTGCATGAAGTTGCTTGGAGTCTGCAGAGGAGAAGAGGGCCTCAGTGGGAGAGAAGCCCATCTTACCAGCTTCGAGGCCAGTGAGACCACTGACAGGGTTCCTGTGGCCCCACACAGCAAGGGTTGCACCCCACCAAAGAAAGGAGCCACTCAGAGGCCAGTGAGTCATCACAAGAGACCCATGCACAGCTCACCCCACAGGAAGCATTTAAAATGCAGATGGAGGCTGGCCCGCCAGGGGAATACTGGGGTGAAGGCAGCTGATCTGCCTTCTAATTGGCACAGGTCCATTCTGTGGAAACTGATCAGGAGACAGAACTGCAGAGGGCACAGTTTGCTGGAAAGACTCAGTCCCAGGCCAGAATTTCCACACAGCCCAGTTGTATCTGACCTCAAAAGAACCAGAAGTGATTAAAAGGCCAACAACTAAAATCCAGTCTGCACAAACAACCTTCCCCAGAGAATAAGCAGCAAAGCAGCAATTTAGCTCAACCACAGGGCTTAAGTGCTGATCCCTGAAAGAAAGTGAACCGAGATGCCGGGTGCTATTCAAGCTTTATTAAAGAAAGAAATCTGCCGGGCTGCACTCAAAATGGAGGACAGCCGGGGCTGCCCTGAAAATGGATATTGCAGCAACAATGAGTTTACGAGGGTTTATATTAGCTTTTGGGTGTGAAATGTATGGGCAGAGGGACCATTAGGTTGATGTAACTGGGTGGAGAACTGCACAGATCCAGAAGCAAAAAGTTGTTTCTAAGTCAGGAGGCTTCTCCTAAAGGGAAGGGGGGAGGGGCTTGGTGCTGGATTGGAAGACGAGGCAGGCAGCTATTTCATGCTGGTGCTTATTGTGTGCACAATGGTGCTGGCCACGTCCAAAATTGATCAATCCCCACAGGAAGTGACCCCAATTTTGGAATTAACCAAAACCACAAAACAGAGACAAAGTTCTGATATTAACCAGTAAATGTCTAACACCACCAAAGAACACCTATAAAACCTAGAAGAGGTAGCAGCCTCCTCAAATGCCCAGGTGTTAGCATAAAGATATAAAGATTGAGAAAAAACAGAAATATGACACCATCACAGGGAACAAACCAAGCACCAGCAACGGACCCAGAGGAACAGTGGATTTATGAAATGTCTGACATAGAATTCAGAATAACACTCTTAAGGATGTTCAGGGAGTCACAAGAAAATATGAGTAGGGCCGGCCCGGTGGCGCACTGCTACAGTGCGCCACTTGGGAGTGCGGCGGCGCTCCCGCCGAGGGTTCGGATCCCACATACAGACCGGCCGCTCACTGGCTGAGCGAGGTGCGGACGCAACACCGAGGGTTGCGATCCCGTTGCCGGTCCCGGTCCGGTACGGGTGCGACACTGAGGGTTGCGATCCGTTGCCGGTCACGAAAAAAGACAAAAAAGGAAAAAAGAAAATATGAGTAGAAAATTAAATGGTATCTGGAAAATTAAATGGTATCAGAATGAGAAACCTGACAAAGGAATTGAATCAATTTTTTAAAAAACAACAACAAAAAAATGCAAATTCTATAAATAAAAAAGAATACATTAAAACTAAAAAACTCAATAGAAAGTTCCAACAGCAGAATTAACCAAACTAAGGAAAGAATCAGTGAGCTCAAAGACAAAGCCTACAAAATTTTCAAACCAAAGGAGCAGAAAGAAAAAAGAATAAGAAAAAGGTGAAACAGAAATACAGCAAATACGGGACTTCCTCAAGTGAAATAACCTCCACATAACTGGCATACCTGAAGGAGAGAAAAAAGGAAGAGATGCAGAAAGCATATTCAAGAAAATAATGGCTGAAAATTTCCCAAGTATGGAGAAAGATGACAGCATTCAGGTACAAAAGCTCAGAGGTTGACAACCAAATTCAATCCAAAGAGGAACACCCCAAGGCACATCATAATCAAATTATCAAAAACCAAAGACAAATAAAGGATACTGAAAGCAGCTAGAGAAAAGAAACACACAACATTCAAAAGAGTCACAATATGTCTCTCAATGGATTTGTCAGTAGAAACCCTACAGGCCAGAAGAGAATTGGATGATATATTCAGAGTACTGAAGGAAAAAGACTGTCAGTCAAGAATTCTGTATCCAGCAAAACCAACCTTCAAATATGAAGGAGAAATAAAGAATTTCCCAGACAAACAAAAGCTAAAGGAATTCGCCAACACTAGACCTGCCTTACAAGAAATGCTAACGGGAATTCTTCAATCTGAAAGAAAATCACTCTAAGGGACAGCAAGAAAACATCTGAAGGTACATAACTCACTAGTAAAAGTAAGTTCACAAGCAATCTCAGAATACTCCAATGTCATAAAGGGGAGAATAAACCTCTTAAATCCTTAGTATGAAGACCAAAGGACAAACCTAATAAGACAATAACAAATACAACCGCATAAGAGACAGGCAATATTAAAAGATATAACTTGAAACAACAAAATGTAAAAAAAGTTGGGTGGGAATGATGCCAAAGCATAGAGTTAGCTTGGTTCTTTCTTTTTTCTTAAATATCAAAATTGAATTGTTATTAGTACAAAATAATCTGTTATAACTTTAACATGTTTGTGTAAGCCTCATGGTAACCATAACACAAAAACTTATAACAGACATACTAAAATAAAAGAGCAAAAAACCAAAATAAGTGAGGCACAGGAAGACAAATACTGTACAATCTCTCATAGAAATAGAGAGTAAAATAATTGTTACCAGAGGCAGGGGGAGGAAAACAGGTGGACTAACGGGTACAAAACTATGCTGTCTATCCTAAGTGAATCACTGTGCAGTACACGTATGTACAGAAGCAACACACTGTATCCCACAAAAATAAATATAAATAAAATTGAAAAAAATGTAAAAAAATAAATAAATAAATTGTAACTTGGTATCTTACGAATTTCTAAGCCGTTATAAATATGAAATACCTGAATAGTTTGGCAAGCATGGCTACCATTGTTGGTGAGGATAGCAGAGATGGCCTGAAGTGTCCTTCCTGTTTCTCCCCAAGAAGCTACCAGACTAAAGAGGCAAGCACAGGAAAGTGCTGTCAGGGACTGTCCTGTGCTGTCATTCATTCCAGTACTTCGAACAGTGATTTCCAAAAGGAGCTGGAAGAGAGACTCTGTGGATAAAATAGGATTCAATTATATTCATTTAACACACAGAACATTATATGTGTATATTTATTTTTTGTACCTTATCTCATTACAAACAAAATTTAATGTACCTAGAACACTTACTTTGCATTAGTTTCTCACTGCCCTTTTTCCCCAAAAGTTAAAATATTTATATAACATGGTCTTAGAGAACATTTAGTTCAAATCCTTATTTCTGTAAAAGAAAAAAATGAAATCTGTCTAAGGTCATTATAAACAAGGCTGTCTAGAGGCATTCACATATTTAAGAAATTCATCCTATCAAGTAACAGACTACTCACTGCATTTATTTTACTTTTAGACTGGAAGGAGTATGGGCTTTTTAAAATGTTAAGTGTCCAGAAAATAATGTATATATTTGCAAAACAACAAAAGAATACATAAAACATATGCTATAATTTGTTTTAACATAAAATTGATTTTATCGTTAACATAATAGCAGTTCACACTTACAGAGGATGTAATTTATTTTTACCCTAGAAAAACCTCCAAGTCAATAGGACACATTTCCTCCTCCTTTAATAGATAATGAAATTCAAACATAGGGAGGTTAAAAGATTTTCCCTAAATCACAAAGCCATTTAGTGGCAAAGGTGGAAAAATAACACGTGAATGTTCTATGACCAACAGAGGTCTCCACTCAAGATTGAATCAACAGACATCCTCTGGGTATTCACTCCGAAGAAGGTTAGAAGGATTTGAAAACTCTTAAAGTGTGTGTGTGGGGCGGGAGGGGGGGGGCGGGGGAGAAGTCAGAAAAAGACGAAAAAGCTGATGAAGGGAGGAAGGGAGGAAGGAAAGCAAGAAAAAGAACTAATGTATTGCAATTCTCTGAAAACTAAAAGGCCACTTATGGTTTATTTGGTAACTCAGAAACCTAGGTGTCCCCTCATCTTCCACATCTAATCCTAAATTAAGTCTTGTTTGTTTTACTTCCTAGTTAATTCCTCCTCTTTCCTGTGTCTCATCACCATCTTCCCAGTCGATGCCATCACCATTCTTAACTGGAATACTAGAAAGTGTTCACAAGTTATCTCCTACTTTTGCCCCCGATAGCCAAAAATAATTTTTAAACCAAAAATCTAGTTGTCTACTTAAAATCCATTCACTCCTTTGTTAACTCCTTCCTCTTTCTCTCCTTTACTTCATTTGTCTGTACATCTTTCACTTCTATTTTTCCCATCTATCCTTCCCTCTGCCTGTCCCTCCAACTATCCTTTCTTCCCTTCATCCTTTCATTTCTCTCTCCATTTGTCCATTCTTCCTTCTTTCCATCAATCCATCCTTCTTCCCATCATTATCCTTCAGCTATTCCATCTTTTAGTTACTCAGCAAATATTTACTGAATTCTTCTTGCACACTAGGAACTATTATTCTAGATTGGGCTAGTACACTGGTAAACAAGACAAAGAATGCTTCCACCCTCAAAAAAGTTAGATTCAAGTTGAAGAAAATAATTTAAACCAATAATTTAAAAAAATAAGTGCTATAAAATAAGGAATTTTTTTAAAAAAAGGAGTAGTGTAAAGAGATGGAGAATGACTTTCAACTCCTCCTAGCACAATAACCAACCCTCTTTACCATGGCCTGTAAACTTTCACATGTCCACGCCTCCTTCCTCACCTATATTGCAAGACCCTCCCTTCCTTCACTCTCCACATATTAGTCTTTTTTCAGTCATTCTTCTGCCTGCCTCAGAGCCTCACTACATGCTGTCCCTTCTTCTTGGTACACTTATAACCTAGTTTACTCCTTCCTGTTCATCCCTCAAAAATGGCACCTCTTCAGGAAAGCCTGTTAAAGACCGTCAGAACTCCCTCTACTTTCCTCCATACTATTTATCCACATTTGTAATTATACATGTGTCCAAGTGCTTGTTGCTAAGTTCCAATAGCAGTAGTATCATACACACTTAGTACAGAACATAGGAGGTGATTAGTGTTACAATTAAGTGAATTCCTGAGAACTTATATTACAACCTTTAATTGAACAGAAAAATACATATAAGAGAATGATATTTTAAGTAGATTTAGAAACCTAAATCTATTTGCAAAATGAAGATAGTTGTATACTAATCATTAAGATATTCCAACAGTAAAAGTTAATACAAATATACACATATTTTCATGAATAACATGAGAATAAATGTGATACTGTGAAAATACATATTTGGTCTTCATTCCCATCTCCTGACATACAATTCCTAAAATCTTTGTAATTTCCAAAGTGACAGGAGCCGTTTCCTATGCTAATGATGGCTGGCAGTCACTAGGTAGCTTCAGGATTGGGGCTGGTCACAGGAAAGACCAAGATGGGATTTTTAGCCCCACCCCCCAACCTCTGGGGAGAGGAAAAGGGCTGAAGGTTAAGCTGATCACCAATGGCCAATGATTTAACAATCATGCCTATGTAATGAGGCTTCCATGAAAACCAAAAAGGCCTGCATTTGGACAGCTTCCGGATAGCAAACACGTGGGGGTTTTCACCTCTACTTGCTGGGAAGGTGGTGCACTGCAACTCCACAGGGACAGAAGCTCCTATACTTGGGACCCTTTCAGACCTCACCGTATGTATCTCTTCATCTAGCTGTTTATTTGTGTCCTTTAGGATATTCTTTGCAATAAATGGGTAAATGTGTTTCCTCGAGTTCTGTGAGTTGCTCAGCAAATTAACTGAACCCAAGGAGGGGGTTGAGGAAACCCTGATTTTTAGTTGGTTGGTCAGAAGTTCCAGAGGACTGGATTTGTGACTGGCATGTGAGGTGGGGGGCAGTCTTGGGGACTAAGCCCTCAACCTGTGGGATCTGACACTCTCTCTAGGTAGATAGTGTCCGAACTGAATCGGAGGACACTCAGCTGATGCCCACTGAGGAACTGGTTATTTGCTTGCTAGTGGGGAGAAAAACCCCACACATTTGGTCATAGAAGTCAGAAGTCCATCTTCTGTGCTGCTTGTTGCTGAGTAACAGTGTAGAGGAAAGACTATGTTTTTCCCACTCATTCACTCATTCAATAATCAAATGGGAGAAAAAGGGTAACTAATGGGATTATGATATTAGATCAAAGGGAAAAAAAGTGGAGGCAAGTTTAAAAAGAAATTTATTATTAAATAACCAAATTGCTACTTACATCTTGGAGCTAATTAAAATAAAAAATATGAAGTAATGTTAAATCCCTTATACAGAAATATACAGAGGGGTCTTGGAAAAGTTCATGGAAAGATTCGTATTGCCTTTTAATTCCATTTTTCCATGAACTTTCTGAAGTGCCCTTGTAAGTCAAAGCAGTGAAAAGATGAGAAGTAAGCACTAAAAGGATAAAAGAGAGAAACCAAAAACAGTATAATAGCATTTGAAACTGTTATCAAGAAAATAAAAATGAATAAACTAATAAGGTGAAAGTTTTGATAGAAGATGCTTAGGCGAAAGCACACACTATAATTTCAAAAACTAGCATTAAGAACAAGATCCATTTTAAAAAGAAAAAAGGGCATATTTACGTACAGAATGGATACAAAGGAAAGCATATAACAACCAGTAGGAGACAAAAGAATGGTAGAAGATCTAGGATGAAAGAAATGATTGGCACGTCGTTCAAAGGAAGAAATACACAGGTTTCAGTGGATTTCTTAAAATATTCCAATTATTTGTTAACTGACAAACCAAAGCTAAGAAAAACCAGCAAAATATTCTTAAATAACATACACTAAATCTTCAGTAAAATGCTGTCAATCCAGGTAGCACATCACAATAATAATATACTCACTGGTGCTACCATAACAATAACCAACCAGGTGCCCATTTCTTAACATATGACACTTTTTATTTGGTAATAGCATTTAATAACTGTGGTGGGGGCGGGATGCAGAGAATTTAAAATCTTCAGCTTGTTTTAGTGGCCAGAATTCTCCTCTCCCACTAAAACAAAACATAATCAAACACAACAAAATCACTATCTGTGACCAAAATAAGAAACAGCTGACATGTAATCTGGTTCATGCAATTAGTTCTTCATACATGGGTCTAATAAAATCCAAATAGCCAAGTAGAGAAAAAGAACCATACTCTAGTCCAGACTGGCAGTAAAGTCTCCAGACAAGCAGCATTAGCATCTTATTCCAGATGTAAATTCATGGGCACTGCCCCAAATCTACTGAATCAGAAACTCTATAGGTAGGGCCCAAATGACTCTCATACATACTAATACTTGAGAAACACAGCTCTAGAACTTCTGAGAATTTTCCTGTAATACTAGAAGGATCTAGAAAGCTCTAGACTCTGTGGAGACCCAAGGTCAGCATCGGAGAAAAGCAATTAGCCAATTTTAAAATTATGCTTCCATCTGTATTTCTATTCCTCAATACCCTTTAAGTAAAAGCTCCTATCTTGTGTAAAGAATTGTGTTTTAAGCCTAGGTCACTAGCATGAAAGGCAACTGAAACACACTTGTAGGAAAAATAAACACTCTTATTTAATGAAAGTTACTACTAAGTCAGAAGCTTTATCCTTAACACAAATAGATTTTTATTTATAATGACTACAAAAGAAAGGCCTTCTTTGTTTAGAGACTAACTGTACTGTTTGGGGTTTGTAGCATTTATTTCCTCTTGCCCTTTTTTTTTTTTTAAACTATTGTTGGGTAAACAGAATAACTTAATCAGGCTCCTTGTGGCTTGGGTCCAGTTGGGGGAGGTACAGTGCATTCTTTGTAAATAAGTTGCCTGTGGGTGGAGTTAGTGCACATGCATGGCACAGCAACTTGGCTGAGGACTGCCTCAGGCGTCCGCCTGCATGGCCGTGCTCTCGAACCTACCTACGGCTCCAAAGACCTTTTGGCCAGTTATCTAGCTCCTAGACCTGCATGTGAAGGGTCTGGTGACCCAGCCTGGTATGTGAAGAGTTTGTGACCCAATATAGACAATGGGTTTGAGGGGTCTGTGAGCTCCAGACCCAGCCTTAGTTCAACAATTGGCCCAGTCTTCAGGATTATGGGCAGGTAAAAGAGTGCAACAACCATCCAGAGTAACAAGTTATAAAAATGAATGTTAGCTATTTTGGCTAAAGGTTTAATAAGAATGATTTCAGTTAAAAGTTACTTTAAGATTTGAGAATTATTTCTGAATTCAAAGGATTTATATTTTGTTTTTTTCCCATCAACACAATAATCAAGAAATGTCTATGAATGAACTATAACTATTAAGCCACAACTTCAGTGGAACATAGCAAAAAACCTTATGTTGGGCTCTTTTTACCTGCCTGTAATCCTGCCGACTGGGCCAATTGTCCAGCAGCAGTGCCCCAAACCTGTCCTCCAGAGAAACTCAGTTCTCCTAGGCCTCAGGGTCTGTGATGGGTGGGTCGCTCTCCCAAACTTCTGAAAGGCCCTCAGGGCCTTTTCATTGTTTTAGCTATTAGCACCTAGCTGCCCCATCCCCAGCTCCTGAATTACTTGAATCAGCTTGGCTTACACAGGCTATTCACTCACAGTCTCGGGCAATTCTGCAGTGTTCGCCCACAGTTCGAACAACTGCATTCACTCCGTCACTCTTTTCTCGGGTTTATATGGTACCCGTCGAGCCATCTGCTTTCTCGGGTTTATACAGCACCCAGCCAGCCATCGGGTTTATGTGGCAGCCTCCGAGCCTTCTTGGGTTTAAGTAGCACCTGGCAAGCCATCTGCCTTTGGACAAATGCAATATGCATTTACTACATCGTCTCCAGGGCACGTTACACCATACCCATAGCTGCAGCAGCCAGGGGCTCTCCCTGTTTCTGCTGTTTTACTGTCTCCCCAAGTCAACCAGTTCAGCCTGAGTGTACAGGACATAGGTGGTGAACTGAGTCACCTGTGGATCGCCCACCAGTTGTCCATCCAGTCCCACAGGCTGATTGTGCTTCATTTTCTGATGCACAACAGGTCATGCCTGGAGACGCACGGTCTCCCCCAACTCACCACTAGGCTCATCATTGTCCCCGGTGTGAGAGGCAGGAGTGGCCAGTCGCTGCACATCATCCGCCAACAACTCTGCTTTCCGCTTCAAATCTCCATCAACTTATAGCATAGTGAGCAGTAGCCAGGCTCCAGTCAACAGGAAAGTGGCCACAGGGCAGAGCACACTCAAAAGTAGCCACATTTCCTCCTTCTTGTAAGGGCTTTCGGCTCCTGTTCCTGTTCAGAATCCTGCTGACTACGCCAACTGTTGGGCTCTTTTTACCTGCCCATAATCCAGCCTACTGGGCCAACTGTTGAGCTCTTTTACCTGCCTGTAATCCTGCTGACTGGGCCAATTGTTGAGCTAGGGCTGGGTCTGAAGCTCACAGACCCCTCAAGCCCACTGTCCAGACTGGGTCACAAACCCTTCACAAACCAGGCTCGGTCACCAGACTCCTCACACATTCTGGCTGGGTCACCAGACCCTTCACACACAGGTCTATGAGCTAGGTAACCAGCCAAAAGGGTAGTAGGTTCAACAGCATGGCCACACAGGGCGGATGCTTGAGGCACTAGACGACAGCCAAGTTGCCACACCACAAAGGCGCACTTACTCCACCCACACAGAAATTATTTACAAAGAATGCACCACACCACCCCCAACTGGACCCAAGGCAAAGGGCCCTGATTAAACTATTCTATTTTCCCAACACCTTAAAACATTATATCCCTGCTGTTTCAGTACCAGAATTAAAGACTGTCTTATAGGCTATTGTGTGTGCTTCATCAGAGAAGCCATTCTCTTTTAAATGCTTCATTAGATGACTCCGAGCTCTTACCTAGGACGTCAGGTGGCTCTGACTGAAGGCCTTCTGGCTGTTGACCTTGAAGCACATTGAGCAGGGCTTGAAGACTTCTGAGACACAGGGATGGATGAGAAAATCGCGTCTCCTTGATCAATTCAAAAACTTCACAAAGTCCAACCTCAATAATCTATTTAAGATGAAAAAAAAATGCTTTATAATATGTAAGCTACTTACCATTTCTAGGCAGTTTTAGCTGGTACAAGTTACTTCCACAGCAAGCCATAAACTATTGCCATATTTAAAAGGCAAGAACAAAAAAGCAATATATTAAAAAAACAGTACAGTATGTTTAACACAAAGATTTAGAAAACCATCTGGTTACATGGAAGGCTAAAAAACTGTGGCACTGTTTATAAATTAGTTTTAGTATAATGACACAATAATGAAACATCATGAAAATGGCTTGTAACAGCAAACTAGAAACTAGATTGCATTCACTCAGAAGAAATAAATTGTATTAATTTACAAAGTCCATTTGGTTGTACTTAAGTAAAATTCAGCACTCTTTTTGGTTAAAAGTCATGTTAATTGCTTCTTATAACCAGAAATAAAGTCAATACAGCACACATATTGAAAAGATTTTAAAAGGAGCTTTTCATCTTAGCCTTTCCTATAATGGTACAGTTGCCATATTATTATTTATAGGTGGTGTCCCTTATTCTTGAAGGATGATCAAGAAGAGAATTAAAAACTACTTAGCTAAAAATATCACTGGTACTTTAATTATCTTATCATTCCTCATCAATACCAAGAAAAATCTGACTCAGTATCTAGCAAAAGAGATAAATCTGTAACTAAACAGTGACAGAGCAAATTGTAACAAACTGGTATAATGATAAACCTTCAGAAGATTGATAAAACAGTAGACAATGAGATTCCATTTCTCAGTCAACGTCAACATTTTGAAAACCAGATTTATAAGATCTCTTCAGGAGGTGTTAAAGTAAATTATTTGGAGAAATAACAGAAAAAGTTAAAATAAGACTAATTAGTAGAAATTCTTCAAAGCATTAATTCTATTGGACATAATAGTGGAAGAATATTCTTTCTGCTGAGGTTTTTGCATTAATTCATATATTACATAAATATTTCCTAAGCACTTATTTTGTGCAACTCACTATAGAAGACATGAAAACATACTAGACCCCGTCCTCTAAGCTTAATAGGGTAAATGAACCATGTATATCATTCTTACCCAGCCCAGACCTCTGCTATAGCCCTTATTACATTATAGTGCAACTATTTTTGTTTCCATTTTCCCAACTAAACTGTGGTCTCCTTGTGGATAAGGAAACATATCTCAAATGGCTTAATACATGCCATGCCCAGCCCAGTGCCTGGCACATGGTGGGCATACATAAATATTTGTTCAATTACTCACCCAGATGTATGCCAAAAACCACTGCAACTCAGAAATACAAGTGTACTTCGAAAAGTTCATGGAAAGATTCATATTATTTTTATTCTATTTTCCCACAAACTTTTTAAAGCACCTTCATATATTTTCCAGACAAGGGTCAAATCAGTTACAGGGAAGTCAATTGCAGTTCTGTCATTTGGAAGGTTTCTAAAGAATATATATAACTGAGAATTCAAAATAACTAGTAGGATTGTCTTTAGACAAGTTATCTAAAATCCTAGCAGGCTTGATTATAACTAAGATTACAGAAGTGCTTGCACCGAGTCTCAATTGATTACACTAAGTGATGAAATTTTTCTATTAGATATAGTTTCTTTTCAAGAAATGGACCAGCAAACAAAAGCATGCTGTCCAAGATTTCCATCTCCTTATGTACTTACAGGAAACAGAAATCTGAAGTCTAAGATCTTCTCAGCACAAAACATGGGACCATTCTCAGGCCAACAGGAGACTGCTACATTCTATCATTCTTTAAGATTGCTTAAGCTCCTACCAACCATAACTTTTCATAATTCCAAGAAGATCTTCACAGATGACATTTTTGGCTAGGGTTCATCTATATAAGTATAAGTTTCCTGCACTTATGGAGAAATTTTTGAAGCTTGCCAGAAACAGTAAGGTTACTTAATGGACAGGTTCCCGAGTTGTCTCTCCAGTATGTTTAAGGTGTAATAACAAATGTATGACAACCAGCAACTAAGGAACAGAGAATGCAAGCTGGTTTTAGCGAAACATGGCCATAAAACATTAGTCACAGTGATCATGACAGAGAACTCCCCATTCACCTTGGTTAAACACTGTGAATTCTCACTAACCATCCAAATAGTGGTTCACTGTAGACTTTTTTTTGTCCTTTTTGTCTTTTTTCGTGACCGGCAACGGATCGCAACCCTCAGTGTTGCGCCCGTACCGGACCGGGACTGGCAACGGGATCGCAACCCTCGGTGTTGCGCCCGCACCTCGCTCAGCCAGTGAGCGGCCGGTCTGTATGTGGGATCCGAACCCTCGGCGGGAGCGCCACCGTGCTCCCAAGCGGCGCACTGTAGCAGTGCACCACCGGGCCGGCCCCACTGGCGGGAGCGCCGCCGTGCTCCCAAGCGGCGCACTGTAGCAGTGCACCACCGGGCCGGCCCCACTGTAGACTTTTTGTTTATTAAATGGGAAAACTAAAGTATTTACATAAAGAAATGAATTCAGCAAGTGACAAAATAAAAATCAACCTCAAGTTTTCTAACCATTAAAGAACTATTAAATATTTAGCTCTTAATTACTGAGCAGAGGTACCAACATGTTCTTAAGTAAGTCTTTTTCTGCTGTTTGGCTGAGAGAATTTTATCAAAAGTATAACTTAGAAATTGGATGCTAGAGTTTGAAGACTGTCTTACAGTCACTGAAAACACACTAAATTTCCTCTTCCCTCAACACTACGAAGGAGGGGTATAAGGAGAATAAATATAGAAGTGCAAATATAGTATGATTTCATTCATATAAAAATAAACACATTTTTAATGTGTGCATAAAAAGATAAAGTAAATAAAAATGTTTACACTGGCCATTTTTTTACTAATGGGATTTCAGAAATTATTTCTAATTTCTATTTCCTCTTTACTAAAAACGTTCTTCATTTTTTAAATTGTAATTAATATGCATTGCCTTTATAATTAACAAAATAAAATAATAAATGTGATTTAAAATAGAGTAACAATTAATTGTAAGATAACACCCTAAGCTTCAATACTTTCAATGATAAACCGTAACTAATCACCCAACATGTGACTTTCCACTTCTGTCCAGAAAACAGTCTTCTGTAGACTTACTGAATTTTACCTTTACCGTGCTTTCAAATAATTAAATTCTGAAGGCTCTCTATTATACTTGAAAGATGAAGGAATACAAACCCAAATAACTACCTGATATAGCCAATCCAATTTCAATGCTAGAAAAAGTGAGATAAAAGCATACTCAGCCAAAGAAAAGTGACCAAGAGTCTTCCAAGGTTTTTTTTGGCTCTCCTCTAATCATTTATTTCCAAACGTGACTTTATTATTTCACTAATAAGTGTAAACATAAAAGTTTAGTTACATCAAATTTTGATTTAATAATAAACGTTTCGCCATTATAAACTGTATGTTGTTCTATTAAAAAGTTCTAGAATCAGTTTCAATACTTATAGAATACATTTGAAAAAGCTTGAAAGGAAATCAAAAGTAAACTTACATGTTACTATAGAGTGAAGTATATATACTGCCTTTTAAAATTATTTGTACAAAACAAATATCTGGAAGAGACAATATTTACAAATAATAAAAAAAAAAGTCTAGATGGGTTGAGAACAGAAGAAGAGAAGGAGGTAGCAGAGAAGTAAAATTATTTGTACAAAACAAATATCTGGAAGAGACAATATTTACAAATAATAAAAAAAAAGTCTAGATGGGTTGAGAACAGAAGAAGAGAAGGAGGTAGCAGAGAAAGAGGAGGAGGAAGGGGCAGAGAAGGAGGAAGAATTCTGCTGCTCAGAGTTTGAATGTGAAATGTCTAAATTCCTATTCTCTTACATACCAATTTATCTACAACTAATACCACCTTTTTTGCTTCTTTTCACAACCAGGGGAAAAAAGTGTTCCTAAGACTTTTCAAAGCTAATTTATTTTTTCAAACAATGTTCCTGACCCCACCCCCTTGCCATCTTTCATAGAGTTCTGTTTCAACTGTGCCCCCACACAGCGATAATTCCCAAATCTCTTTTTCTAGTTGGCACCTTTCTTTTGAACTTCAACCCTACATAGTATACACCGGACATCGCACATCTACCTCAAAATCAATAGGTGCAGAACTAAACTTAATCATCATTACAGGCAAGCACTGTTCTTCCTCCAGTTCTCCCTCTCTCAGTAAATAGTATCACAACCCAGAAACTTTAAGAAAAGGTTTAGACACTGCCTTCCCTTTCAGCCTTCACAGCTAGCTAATTAACAATTCCTGTCAAGTCTGCTTCTTTAACATTTCTTGTATTCAAAACACTTCCACCACCATATTCCAAGACTCATTAACAAGATAACTGCAATCACCTCTAATCTGCTTCTAATCTCACCACCCTTTAGGGGATATGATTTAGCACCCACGTAACCTTACTAAAATGCAAGTCTGATCACACTCTGTGGCTTAAAATCTTCAATATCGTCTGTTCACAAAACATCTTAATCGGTTACTTAACACGTAAAGCCCTTCTTGATATAGCTCCTGCTCGCTCTTTCTCTCTCTCTCTCTCTCTCTCTCTCTCCCTCTCCCCCTCCCCCCTCCTTCGCCCTCCCCCCCATCCTTGCCAGTGATCCTTTACTCCTAGCATGCCCTATCAATCCTTAAGGCACTAGAGGACAGTTATTGATTGATCTGCTTGTTGTTATTCCTATGAGACTATGCATTCTTGAGAGCAGGGATTGTGTCTCATCCTTTTGTTTTCAGGGCTTAATTCGATTTTGGCTACAAACTCAAAAACAATTTACTGAATTAAAAGATAAATAATTGAGTCTATGTAAGTCTACATCTTTTAATAAAACATGTGGCATGACTAGCTTCAAATGAGTTCAGATTGGAAGTATGAATCCTAAGTATTACTACTAAAAAAATTATGTGACTATAAAATTTGGACAGCTTTAAAGGATCTGGATATTAGTGACAGTTTGAGCTGGATAAAAAACTTAATATAAAAGCATTAAGATGAGGGTAAGAAAGGTCTTTAAAGTACCAATGATTACACAAAAACAAAAAGCGAAAATAGGTCACAATCAAGATCTACATAACAGTCAAATTCAATTTAATTAACTTTTAAAAGTCAAGAAGGGGAAAAATAAAATTGTATTACAATGATACTGCAACAACAAATTAAAAACTTAGGGAATCGTGTGAGGGAAAAGGAGTAGGAGGGGGAGTAACCTCAGGGGAGAAGGAAAGGGACAGCCACACATGTAGGAGGAGCCAGAGAGGAGCTAAGAAAAGGGAGAAACTGAGATAAAAGACAGCATCTGGTGTCTATCCAAAGGAAATGGTCAAAAGGAAAAATAAGAATGCCAACATTTCTCACCTGTCCTCAAGTTCCCATCACCTCAAACCCTAACGGCACCATCTCTTCCTTTGTACCAATCCTCATGACATATAAACAGCTGACAAAGCACATCACCTGAAAGTTTCACTCCCTACCCATGCCCCCACCCACAGCATTCTGATTGCCTCTGCTTGGAGGCATTTCACTGCTTTTTCCCCTCATTACATATATCATTCATCACATGATCACATTTGATTCTCTTGAAGTTTCATGTCCTTATATATAAATATTTCTTAATAAATCAAAGAGTTCCTTGAGAAGTAACTCAAATTTATTTGCACCTACATATCTTATTGTTTGTGTTTAAAACAAACTACAGCTATCATTTATTGAGCACTTACTATGTACTAGGTACTGTTCCTTCAAGCACTTGACATCCATTAACTCATTTAGATTATCACTACAACCCAATGAGGTAGAAATTACTCCCAATTTATAGATGAGGAAGCTGAGGCATACATATGTCAAGTAACTTTCTCACACAGCTAGAAATTTTAAAGGTGAATGTTTCAACCCAAGCAGTTTGGCTCCATAAAACATGTTCTTAACCACTACACTCTGTTTCCAGACAGGTCCGTACTTGGTGGAAAACTCAGTATTAATCACTAGGGCTATATGATCTTTCAATTTTCTTTAAAAGATTCACTTTGACTCTATTAATCATGCTAAAATGATACTTTAACACTTGCTTATTCTGATGTTTGAAAACACTCAGATTATTATTGTTACTGATTATGCAATACCTTTTAATTTGAACTACAGATTACTGTTCAAAATCTACATATCTGTGTAAAAAATTTCTCTGGGTTTTTCTCTTCCGATACTGATCTTAAGCACCCTGATTGCTGTAGTACAGTGTGACTCACCCACATACAGAATGGTACTCTGACCAAAATTATATTATACAAGTTCTGCAGCTTTATATCCTAGCTTATGTTTTTTTTTCCTCCCCAACCTCTCCTAATTAAGCATAAGAAATTATATTTAGAGACCATGATCACTACCTGGACGGTATTTCCTGGAAAAGATAAGCATGTTTGTTTTAAGTTAAAAAAAGAAGCTAGTAGGGTAGGTACAGTTAAGACACTGAAGACGGACAAAACATAGAAAGGAGAAACAAGAGGAGATAAGGACATTTGAAGATAGCTGATTAAGAGGCTGAGGAAGGTCACAAAACCTCTATTATCCTATGAAATAGGAAGCACGTCATCTGCTGAGAATAAGGTGAGAGGAACCTAACAGCATAATTAAGGAAAGTGGTGCATTTAGGGATATCCATCACAAAACATGCAAGAGAATACAGACCAGGAACACAGGTTCCATCTGTGCTGCTATTTCCAAGTGGCAAAAACTGTTTACATGATAACTCATGCATATAAATCAGTTCTCAAGAATAGTTTTAAGGTATCACTTTTGTAAAAAGGCAATATACACAAATCATTTATAATAGATATTATTTTTAAATATGTCTATATTTAGGAAAAAAGTAATATGTATGAATCATATAAAGGTACCATTTTTAACATATGTCTATATTTTCACATTCTCTTTTGTTGGAAATACTAACTATACCAATTATATAGAAAAGTGTATATGTAAGATAACATTACAGTCTTGAAATATACTTAAACACAACAGAGCACATTAAGAACAGTTTGTTCTACAATACATGTTTCTATAACATCAATTAGCTTACATGCTTCTGGTATGTAAGGGAGTGATATCAGAACAATGTAGAAGTTGGTTTGGTTCACATGTGATGTTTTTCCTATGCAAGGGGAGCCAGAATAGCAAGAGTACAAGCATAAGCTTAGGCAGAAAAGGAAAAAGTTCTCAGCTCAGCTGCTGTACAACCAGGAGCCCTTCTAGTTCTATTTCAAAAAAAATTAAATTGTATACCTGCAGCACCCCCAGCTTTCCATGGCTCTTGGCTTGTGGCAGTTTGTGCCCATTTTACTGGCAGCCCACTGATCCAGAGCTCAACTTCCATCTACCATGGCTCAATGCCTCCATGCCAGCATTTTCACTTTACTTAATAGCCCCTGTAATAGACTCCAACCCACTGATCTCCCTGCCTGGGCTTTCCAAGTACTCCCCACTGAGTTAACAATTATTGACTTTATTAGTGCACTAGTTAAGAAGTTGCATAGAATTTTCCTGGTCTACCCCAAACCTATTTTTACCTATAAGCTGTGTTATTTTTAGTGCACAATTTTACAAAAGTAAGGTATTTTAGCAATGCATATATATGTCTTACAGCCAGAATATCTGTAGGGTATGCACCTATGTAGAATTCAATGGCTTACCTTTGGAAGCTTGATAGGGGGCTCTTTGGATTCCTCCTCTTCATCACTATCTGATTCTCCACTCTGCACAGAGTTCTTAGATGCAGCTGCCAATGATGTTTCCTTTTTTTGCCATTCCAGAACACAATGGCGTACATTGCAGTAAATATTGAAGGCAGAAGGATTGCTATGTAGTTTGATATCTGGTATGATTACTGTATTTTCCAAGTTTTCAGACTGAAATACAAGATGGAATATTTCAATTTCACATTTCTTTCCATCATCATCAATTCCCATTTTAAATAAAAAAGTAAAGATTAGACAGGCTAACTGACTCAGAAGAAGTCATGAAAGTGACATAGCAAAGTCAGTCTAAGTCTACTGATTCAACTTCCATTACAGTTTCTGATACTCTTCAGTACTTTTTTGAGTAATACAACAATAATCAACCTGACAAGGGGTGGAAAGGGAGGAGCAAAGAACTTAGAAATATTCTTTTATTCCCATGATAGAAATAGAGCCAACAAAGCTTAACTGCTGGAGTATTGTATCAAAGGATGTTAATTTCATGCCTTTCTAAGGGACACCAGATATACTGCAGTCTCAGTGACCTACTAGAAATGTTGAATTACATTTTGAATTCTTTTAAAAATAGATATAGGGACTTACACAAAAAATTAGGGCTGAAAAAAATGTAAAAAGCCCTAATTTTTCCTAACTCATTTCATTCTCATTCAAATAATAATGCCAAGAAAACTTCAGATTATGGGCATACACTTCCCTAAGCTCTCTCTTAGCTATCTGTCTTGATAAAGACTAAATACCCCATGCTTGGTAATTTGTTAAAACTATGCAATTTCTCTTTTGTGTCCAGTATTTTATTCAATCATACTTTCAAGGTCAACATTTATATTATAAATATAAAGAACTATTTTAAGATATCTTACAAATGCAGGTTGCAACAATTAGAATAATGTTCAAGAAGTATCTAAAATAAACAAAAAACCTCAAGCATCAAAAACACTTGGTCCCAAAAGTCCACCCTTCTTCCATAAAAAATTGAGGGAAAAAAGAACACTCTTTTAAATAAAAAATATATTAAAGTTAAATTAGCATATAACTTGTGAAGATGTCTTTCAGAGATATTAAAAACAAGCAAATGTTAGCAACCCAAATCCAACAATACATAAAAAAGCAATATATATCATGACCAACTGGGGTTTAATCTGGGAACAATGCTGGTATGACACTGGAAAAGCAATCAGTGTAATTCTCCTTCAATCAAAAATAATAGGGAAAAAAAACCATAAACATGGAAAAAGTATTTGACAAAAATCCAATACTAATTCATGATAAAAAGTCTATGTAAATTAGAAATAGAAGGGAATTTCCTCAATTTGATAAAGGGTATCTATGAAATACCCTCAGCTAACATTGTAAAACTGAAAGCTCTCCCTCTAAGATTGCAAACAAGGCAAATATATCTACTCTCAGCAATTCAATTTGACATTGTATTAGATACCCTTATCCAGTTTAACATGCCAAGAAAAAGAGAAAAAAAGCACAGAAATGTCTTCATTTGAAAAAGACATGTAGAGAATCTTAAGGAATCTACCAAAAAAGCTATCAGAAATAATATGCGGATTTAGCAAAGTCACAGGATACAAGATCAGTACTTAAAAATGAGCAGTATATATCCAAATACTGGGACTAAACTATTGGAAAATGTAATTTAAAAAATAATAGCATTAAAGTCACAAACTGGAAGAAAATATTTGCAAACCACATATCTGACAAAGGACTGGTATACAAAATATAAAAAGAATTCTCAAAACTCAACAGCAAAAACAAACAAGGAATCCAATTAGAAAATAGACAAAAGACATAAACAGACATATCACCAAAGAATATACACAGAAGGCAAATAAGCGCATGAAAAGAAGTCCAACATCATTAGCCATGAGAAAACTGCAAATTAAAATGAGAGGGATGCTCCCTCCACTTGGAACCAGACAAAAAGCAGAGCATGCCGGGGCCCTAGGCAGGAGCCAAGGGCCACCCCCTCTGCCTGAGACCAGGCAAGAAGCAGAGCATGCCCAGGGTCTTATGCAGGAGCTAAGGGCAGCATCCCTTGCCCAGAACCAGGCAAAGAGCAAGACAAAAATACCATTACCAAGCAGATGGCCTACCAAAGCCACCACCACAGCCATGGCTGCTGCAAAAGCAGCTTTACGCCACAGGAGTAGCCACAGCCACAATGCAGGTAGCGGGCTCTCAACTGCCTGGGACACTCAAGTGCCCTGACACAAGGAAAGTCGCCAGCTGAGACCAGAAAAAGAACAGGATGTCTCTCTCCTGAAAGCCCACTCCAGAGTAACAGAAGAAGCAACTGCTCTACCAGATGACCAGTCATCAATGTAGAGATACTAGAAATACAAAAACCCAAGAAAATATGACACCACCAAAAGAATACAGCATTTCTCAAATACCAGACCCTATAGAGCAGGAAACACTTGAAATGACTGAAAAGAAATTCTGAGCAAAAATCTTAAAGAAAATCACTGAGATATGAGAACACGAAGACAACATAATGAAATGAGAAAAAAAAAATCCAGGATATGAAGGAGGAAATTTACAAAATAAGAAACACAACTGAGAGCTTAAGTAGCAGGCTAGAAGAAGCAGAAGAAAGAATTTCTGATCTTGAAGACAGTCTCTTCCAAATAATCCAGGTAGACAAAAAAAAATTTTTTTTAAATGAAGAAAATCTAACAGAGCTAGCAGATGACATTAATCACACAAACATTTGAATCATAGTTGTTCCCGAAGGAGAAGAGAAAGGAAAATGCATGGAAAACTTATTCAATGAAATAATAATGGAAAACTTCCCAGGTACAGGGAGAAACACAGACCTTCAGATCTAGGAGGCTCAAATATCTCCCAAAAGATTCAACCCAAAAACATCCTCTCTAAGACATATTAGAGTCAAACTGGCAAAATTCAAAGACAGAGGCAGAATATTTAAAGAAGCAACAGAAAAGTGTCAAGTCATCTATAAGGGAGCCCTGATCAGACTAACAGCTGACTTCTCAACAGAAACTCTACAAGCCAGAAGGAAATGGGATGATATATTCAAAATACTAAAAGAAAAAAACCACTAGCCAAGAATACTATACTCAGCAAGGCTATCCTTCAGAAATGAGGGAGAAATAGTGTCTTTTCCAGACAAACAAAACTGTGGGAATGCACCACCACATCACCAGCCCTAAAAAAAATCCTCAAGAAAATCCTGAATCTGGAAGCCAAAAAATGGTAATCACTACCATGAATACACAGGAAAGAACAAAACCTACTTGTAGAACAAAAAATAAACTAAATCTTACCATCACAAAAAACCACAATGAAAATATAATAATGCCACCACTTTATTTCTGATTTTAGTAATTTGGGTCTTCTTTCTTTTTTTAACTTGGTCTATCTAGATAAAGTTTGTAAATTTTGTTGATCTTGTTAAAGAATCAATTTTTGGTTTTGCTGATTTTCTCTATTGTTTTTTAATTCCCTATTTCATATATTTTTGTTGTAATATTTGTTTTTTCCTACATATATTTCCTTTTGGTTTAGTTTGCTCTTCTTTTTCTATTTTCTTAAGGTAGAAGTTTATATTACTGATTTGAGATTTTTCTTATTTTTAATATAAGTGTTTACAAGTATAAATTGTCCTTAAAGCACTGCAAGAGCCCTGCATCCTATAAATTTTGGTATGTTGCACTTTGATTTTTATCTTAATGTACTCTCTAATTTCCCTGTGATTTTTCTTTCTACCCATTATTTATTTAGGAGAATGTTGTTTAATTTCCACACGTGTGAATTTTCTAAATTTCCTTCTGTTACTGTGGTGATCTATCATTTTCTATTATTTTAGTCTTTTTAAATGTATTAAGACTTGTTCTGTGGCCACAAATAAAAACAAAAACAAAAAATAAAATGAGATATAGTACACAACTATCAGAATGACTAAAATAAAAAACAGTGACAATACCACATGCTGATGAGGATATAGAGAAACTAGATCATTCATACATTGCTGATGGGCATGTAAAATGGTATATAGCCACTCTGCAAAAATGTATGGCAATTTACAAAATGAAACATGTGTTTACGATATAATCCAGCAACTGCACTCTTGAACATTTATACTAGAGAAATGAAAACTTATCTTCACACAAAAATCAGTACATGAATGTTTATAGCAGCTTTATTCAAAAATAGCCCAAAACTAGAAACAACCAGGTTGTATTTTAATACATAGATGGTTAAACAGACTGTGGTACATCCATACCATGATTTGCTTACTCAGCAATAAAAAGGAATGAACTATTGATATTTGCAACAACTTGGATGAATCTCAAAGGCACTATGCCAAGTGAAAAGAAAAAAAAGCCAATTCCAAAAGATTACATACGGCACATTTCCATTTAGATAACATTCTTTAAATGGCAAAATTATAGAGATGGAGAACAAATTAGTGGTTGCCACAGGCTAAGGAGAGGGTGAGGGAGGGATAAAGTTGTGGTTATAAAGGGTAGCACAAAGGATCCTTGTGATGGAAATGTTCTATATCTTGACTCTGTTAGTGGTCACACAGACCTACACATGTGACAGAATTAACTGGGTTCACACAAACATCCACACATGCACACAAACAAGTATATGTAAAAGTGGTAAAATCTGAATAAGATGCATGGATTGTATCAGTGTTGACTTCATGGTTGTGATACTATACTACAGCTACACACAAGATGTAACCACTGGGGGAAATGGGTGGAGGGTAGGTATGCAGGGTCTTTCTGAATTATTTCTTACAACTACACTCATGCTACAATCATCTCAAAACAAAATAAATCTCTAAACATATAATTTACAATAACATCAAAAATATAAAATCATTATAAATAAATTTAATAAAATACATGCAAACCCTATACACTGAAAACTCAAAGTGTTGCTGAGTGAAAACAAAGAAGACTTAAATAAATGGAAAGATATACTGTGTTCATTGACTAGAAGATTCAGTATCATTACAATGGTAATTATTCAAATATCTATAGATTAAATGCAATCCTAATAAAATTCCAGAGACTTTAAATGAAAATTGACATATTTATATAAAAATATTTATATAGAAATTTTTATATAACATTCATATAAAAATGTAAAGGATCCAAAGTAGCTAA